TCCCAGTGACCAAGCCTGATTGGATCTACAGAAAAGAATGTATGTATCTTAGAATACAATATTTGTATATGATGGGAACTTTTAAAGGAGATTATTTGAAAATATTTGCATATCACATTGTATCCATGCTGCATATTGTTTTCCATTCCAAACATCTAAAATAAAAAAATGAAATAATTTAAACAGTATACCAAAAAAACTGATAAAATCATAATTAAGAACAGTGTTAAAATAAAGACTGCAATAAACACAATAATACAACTGGAGCTACAATAATAAGTTTAAAATATCACAGTATAGATAAACATGATGGATATGATATATCTGAACCATGAGAGACCACAGCCATGTCACTAAATTAAATCATTCATTTTACTTTGAAATCTACTGAAAAATATATTACCACAAATATAAAATTCTTATGTTTACTTCTCCAAAATCCCTATTAATATATTTCCCTACACATACGTTATAACCAGAACATTTTTTTCTACATGTTGTTTGTTAATTGCCCAAAATAGTCAATCCACTATTCAATGCAACAATTTGTGCAAAGCCATAAAAACTTCTAGTGCAAATCTTCATCTAAACAAAGTCATTTTGCCTGAGAAGAATAGCTAGCTTTATATGGTGTATCCTATGGTGTGTATTCTGCACCATACAAAAACTGCTAGTATTTGGAATTTACCTCCTCATTTTTGATGCAAATTCTCCACAAAAAAAAGGGGGGGGGAGGAGTCCCTGTGGATTTAACTCCACTAGTTGTTGCTGACTATAGGGGCAGTGGTCATCTCCATTTCAAGGGCCGTTGAGCCAGAGCTGTCCAAAGACATTTCTGCGGTCATGCAGCCAACATGATGTCACAAAGCACTCTTACCTTCCCATCGAAGTGGTAACTATTTAGCTACCCGTATTTGAATGCTTTGAAATTGCTAGGTTGGCAGGAGCTAGGGTGAGAACAAGCGCTCATCCCATCATGCGACACTCGAGTCTTGAATCTGGACTATCGGCTTTCCGACCAACAAGCCCAAATTGCTCAGTCACAATCTAGATACTCAAAATTAGATTAGAATTACCTTGACAAGTTCGGCTATTGGAAGTTGAAGTGAAGCCCATCTCACACTCACAACGGTATCCACCAGGAATATTAAGACATTGTCCATTGTCACAAAGATTGATATTTTCTGCACATTCATCAATATCTATTGAATTGGAAATGTTACAGCATTAAGCATTTATAGATTAGAAATTCATTTTGTTTACTATTTCTTAAATTTATTAGTAGGAAAAATGTATTTTCCAAGGAATATATATACCATTTTCAAAATAATCTGTATTTCGAAATGATATATGAGAAAATTTAGGATTTTGATGAAACTCCATGTTCAGGTTCACATAAAAGTAAATGCTGAACTAATCCATTGTCCCATGAAGTTCTGAATTCCACTTCTAAATTACATATAATTCTTTCATAAAATATGTTTAAACTTTCTCTCACCTGAACAAATAAATCCATCTCCAGTAAATCCTTCTGCACAGGTGCAATGATATGACCCAGGAGCATTCACACACTGAGCATTTATGCTACATTGGTGTGTTCCATTAGAGCACTCATCAAGATCTATTAAAGCAAATAAGAAGGAGAAAAATCATAAACATATTAATAGTAACCATTATTTGGCTTTACAGAAGCAAATAGCTAGCAGAAGTTGGCTTAAAGGCTATTAGTACTGGCTTCAATCATTATGATATAATTCTCTTGAAAAAGCAAAAAGTTTAACTTGATATTTATTATTGAAACTTCAGAAAATTGATGAATTGGTTAAATGCTATCTCAGTTCTTCTAAAAAGGCCATAAAGCCATTTGGTGAACTATGAGAGTAGTTATGATCCCACAAGGTGGTACCCTCTCAGGAAACTCTAGAGATCACACAAGTTTCACTGCGTTCATCTGAAACTATCCTGTCTTGTGGATAATGGTTATATTTGAATAGTTAATAACAATGAAATATACAGATGTATATTTTAAAATACTGGTGAGGACAGGAAGATTTGGAATCAAAAGACCATCTGAAATTGTAGAGAAGATACTGCGAAAAACAACAATAGATATAATTCATTCATATCTTGGGGGTGGGGTGCTAATGGGGTTAGTTTACTGAAATTCTCAGAGCTACATTTTAATTTTTGCATAAATACACAGGCTAAGCAATATTGGGAATTGGGAGTTAATTTACAGCTGACAGTGAAGGTAATTCTTTTTACAGCAGTTGTCTGAAATTAGTTTTTCGAGTAGGAAATCCTGATAAATATACAATTTTAAATGATAGTTTATAAAGTTTGCTCTCAAAATAACCAATATATCCATATGCAAAATGGAAGAATGTGATTTAGCCTATATGGAGAAGAGAGATTCTATCTGAAATTTGTTGAAATTCTTTTAGATCCATTTCCCCATAATATATATACAACTGGTTTTCTTACTGTGGTGTCAGTTAGCTAGTTACCTTATTGATCAACCTATAGAATCAATTTTAAAATGAACACATAACTTACATTTGCCTTTTTATGAGGCAAACAACCATATCAATATATCTTTACTCACCTATACACTTAATTCCATTTCCAATCCATCCTTCCTTACAGCTACATCTGAAGCTTCCCGGAACATTGAAACACAGACCATGCATGTCACAGTTGTGGGCACCAATCTCACATTCATCCACATCTAAACAAACAAACATTAAACATTCAAACATTGACACTTTTAACTAACTTGTTAAGTGTTAGCTAGGTTGGTAATAATGATAATGACTTTGATGTACCACATATTTTAAATACCATGATTATTTCTCTTTTTATAACATCTGCAACTGATACAATAACTGTAAACAATTCCTATAAATCAAAACATAGGTTTAATATAAATTTAAATATAAATTATGTTCATAAACCTAAGAAAGAAATACGGTGACATAGAATTGTAAGCAATTGATTATAGAAAAGTATCAAAATATATAAAAGAACCAATAAAACATGAAAAGAAAACCTGCCACACCTCTCAGTGTCACATTTTCTTGGAGTTCCTGATATGACAGAAGAGGTACAATTTAATTCCAATAAAAATATCAATAAATCAAATACAAAAAAAACCATCCAAAACAAACTAAAAATCACGTGTCTTGAATTACATGCAAGAAAGGATGAATTAAAGGTAAAGAAAGAAACTGCTGTGCAAATTTCATAGAAAGCATTTTACATTCATCTGACTTCTACTGCTGTCATCGTATCTATGGAAATTAGGTAAAAAACAAGCATGTGGAAATCATAAATTCCTTATAATATTTTTCTGATGAGCATGCATTTGCTTTTAAAGAAAACAATGTATAAGAATTTCAAGTGCTGGGATTTCAAATTCAGCTACAGTTAGTCATCAGTTGATGACATTAGCAACCCTTCAAAGTTATAATCTGGGTAGTTGGCAGTTGGATCATACTTACAGAAGTTACAGCACACACACACACACACACACACACACACACACACACACACACACCCTGGGCATGTGACTGAATTTGTGATTTTCCCTGCTAGCTTCATTCAAGCAAAGTGAATGGGGAAACTGGCAGGGAAAGTCACAAGTCACCCCAGCAAGTTACTTGCACCCCACCCACCCACCCAGCATTACTCACTGCCCTGGCCCAGTCGCATGGCACTGTATGAGCCACTTGTACGCCCTCCCCCATCTAGGATCAGTCATGCTCACACTATGCTTCACCAGCATAACCTCTTCCACTTGAAAACATCCACTTATCTGCAGAATTCCCCCTTTTTAGTAGCATGAGAAGGAAGCCCAAATCATTAACTATGAAAAATGTTCCACAGAGGCAAATCTAAGTTTGTTTGTGTTTGTTTTTAAAAAATAGTATTGTAGTATCATACCTGTGCATCCAGTGGTTCCCTTCTTGACAGAATAACCCAGCTGGCAATGACAAATGAAGGATCCTTTGGTGTTCTCACATTCTCCAAACATGCAAATGTTCGAATTTAGATCGCATTCATTCACATCTGTATAAAAAAGTAAAATGTCTTCTACATTTTGGCTAACATTTAAGAGTTTGATTAGCAAAATCAAAGAATTGTTATATATTAATAAATTACTTAAATATATTATTTAATACCATGCAGAATTATAGAATTGGAAGACGACATTTAAACCAGCAAGTGCATTCTGCTGCTTACTACAGAGATTCAAATTAAAGTATAGCAATAGCAATAGTACTTAGACTTATATACTGCTTCAGACTCAAATACGGCCACCTAATGAGAAGAAAGGACTCACTGGAGAACAGCCTAGCCCTGGGAACGATTGAGGGCAAAAGAAAAAGGGGATGGCAGACAATGAGGTGGCTGGATGGAGTTACTGAAGCAGTTGGCGTGAGCTTAAATGCACTCTGTGGGATGGTAGAAAATAGGAAGGCCTGGAGGAATGTTGTCCATGGGGTTGTGATGGGTCGGACACGACTTCACAACTAATAACAACAACACTGCTTCACAGTGCTTTACAGCCCCCTCTAAGCAGTTTTACAGAGTCAGCATATCACCCCTAACAATCTGGGTCTTCATTTTATCTCCAACAGATGACTGTCCAGCCTCTGCTTGAATACATTGGAGAAGGGAACCTGATCCTATTCTTTTTGGCCATCTTATTGTTGGAGGATTTTCTAAGTATTTATCCACATACACTGCCTTATGACCCAGGACCTTTATTTTTCTCTCTCTTTGGAATGATGATTGAAACAACCCTTTAGCTACCTGAAAAGTACTATCATACATCAAGGCTAAGCTTGACCGGGTACATTATTATCACAATGTTATTGGTCTAAACATATGCTAGCTTTTTTGAATCTTTTTTAAATTTAGCATCTGAACAGCTCTCTGTCAAAATGGAGTATGAGCAATACTATATCATAACTATTTCTTCATGAGAACTGGAAACTTTATTTGTATTGTTGCAATCTAAGATTGCATTGCCCTTTTACACCACAATTTACAATAGCCCCAAATTCAGCTTCTGATCATTTTCAATTCCCAAACATATTTCAATAATGTTATTATCATGCCTGGTATGGTATAAAATGGGTGCTTTTATTTCAGGAAGGTTAGAGCAAAACACCCCTTGAAGCATCTTTTCAGCATATTTTTTATATACGTCTCCTAAGTATTAATCATCTCACTAAACGTGTGAATTTCAAATCTGATGAGCAATTCCTCTGCTTTTTCATTCAAATTATACATAAAAAGGTTAAATATACTAGGTTGAGTACTACGTTATATGCTATTCTATTTGATATCTTTATTCAATTTGATGAGGAACCATTCAAGAAAATTCTGACCAGCAATGAATCAATTTAACATATATGCCATCTTCCCATCCAAAATTAGTTTGTTAGAATATCATAGGTTCAAATAAAGTCAAGATATATTATATTCCCAGCATTTTCACAAGCTGAAATTAAATCTCTATCTTAACTAAAACTACATTTAAGCACAGGAAAAAAAATCTAATTCATTTCCCCTATTTGTATGTTACCATTTTATAACTTTAGCTTATAAAAGGGAACCTCTGAAATCTATAACTATCTCACATACCAATGCATATTTTCATATCAACAGAAGCCATGAATCCATCATAACAAAGACAACGATATTCTCCTGGAATGTTAATGCACTGTCCACCATCACAGATATCTGGGTTACTGTCACATTCATCAATATCTGGAAAGAAAAACACCCAATATCATCACATTTGATCTTTCATTTGCCTAATAAATTTGAACTTTTTCCCAGTAATAAAACTGGAAAAAATGTTCCAATGCATCATTATATAATCTGCTATGAAATATTTGTTGGGCCACACATTTTTTTCAGCATAACTGTAGGATGCCAACATTTTGTAGTCTTTAACTGTATTAAAATGCCCCAAATCCTCTTGCTTCCAGGCATATTTTATTTTCCCAACTTGCTGCCTTGCCTGCATTTTTCTGCATAGTGACTTTGCCGTAGGATTTACTTATTTCTTTGAACTACTGTAAAACATTTACCATCATTTCTATTTTATTCTAATATTGAGGGATCTGAAAACCTTTGCCCAGGTCTGGCTAGGCTAATCTGGAGTGATTCTTACACTATAAAAATACTTCCCTTATTCCTTTTATGAAGCAATCACTAATCCAGCAGCACCATGCCAAAAACCTGCCATTCTACATATGTATTTTTATGTTATGTGCATGTTCCAAAGGGGCAGAACTTGCACATCGACTGTGTGACATTGGTTTTGTCATTTTTATAAAAGCAGCTGAAATTGTGGCTGCCTATGCATTTAACCCATGGGCTATTTTCATTCCTGACTTGCTTTCCCCTGATATTTCAGTACATTTTTCTGATGCCTAAAAAAAATTTCCTTATGAGTTTCTTGTTGAAAATGAATAGTTCTAATGCTCAGACTGAAATCTGTGAAGAAACTATTAGCTTAGATATTAAACAAATTTTCCTTTTCAGAAATTTAAAATATTTTCTAATTTACAGATTTTAAGAGAAAGATAGGAGAGAGATCTATTCATGTTTTTTTTAAATAAAGCACCATTTGATGCTACACATTGTGAGTTTGGCAAAAATTGCAACAATTTGCAGAGATTGTCCTTCCTTTCTGCATTTTTATTTTTTAACCTGATGGTGTATACTGCTATTTTGTTGTACTTTACTGGAACCATACATTTGTTGGAATAATAATTCATACTAATTTTATTGTTGAAGCTAAATGTTTTCTCATTGTTCTCGTTGTGGATGCAGTATAAGAAATAAAGTCAAACCTCTTTATCTTACCTGCACAACTCCTCATATCTGGCATAAGAGCATATCCATCACTGCAACTACATTCATAGCTGCCTTCTGAATTACTGCAGTGAGTGTCACAGCCTCCATTCATAATCATGCACTCATCAATATCTAGGAGAGTATATTTGGGACAGATGAGAAATGTATCTTATAAAGCATCACTTTTTTGTTTCTAATACCTGCATTTTTTATTTCCCAGTTTTCACATTTCTTTGCTATCTCTATCAATAGAAGAACTTAAGTGCTTTTAGGAGTCAATATTTTGTGATGTAACCTATCAAACTAAGCTAAAATTTACAAAAGCTAAACTAACAAAAGTAACAGAGTGTAATTTTTGTGCTGAGGTGTACTCAGGGTGGCACAGCTTTATAGAACTTCAAGCTACATCTTATCTATATATATAAAAATGAAATAGCACTCATGCATCATTACAAAATCTCCAGAACCGTAAAACTTACAAACTTGAAATTTGGCACATAAGTTCCTCTTGGCTTCTAGGTGCTCACTAAGAAAGGATTTTTCAAAATGAATATCAGAGCATTAGTATTTTGTATATTATTATTAACACGCTCTGATGCTAAGGAGTTCTACTCCTCACTTGAAAAAAAATCTGCTTGGTTTCACAGCACTAAGCAGCTTTAGTACAGAACAATTGACCTAAGCCACATTCAGGTTCCTTGCTGTCTCCTTCTTGCTCACAGAGCAAATACTCTTTCAGTTTCCAACAGCCCTCAACTCTCTCACACACTAACAGGATGCTAGCCTGAAGAATACCAATGGATGCTGGTAGGCAAAGGCAGATTCCCCCCCCCCCCCGCCCCACTATTTTCCTCCCCCAAAACTAAGCCCGACAACATAGTTTCATAGCAAAGCATAGGTATCGATCTAGTTTTTTATGAAGTTGAAAGTCTGAAAAGAACACATTTAAAAAATATTATAAAACTGACAGGTGTTAAAATTTCTAGTACTCACCGATGCAGCCTTGCTTATCTGGAGTTGCCTGGTACCCAGGATTACAGGAACACTGATACATTCCAATCACATTCACACATTTCCCATTTCTACATAAGTTATCGCTAAGAGAACATTCATTGATATCTGAAAAAGAAAATTTGCTTGTTTCAGCTCTTGTATTTCTTTCAGGTTTTTAACAGGCAAAAATCTAGCAATAAGAAAATCAGAAAATAATATACATACAGATACTTCAAGAATGTGAAAGCAAATAATAATAGCTTAAGTGTTCACAAAAACAACAGAAGCAACAAATACCTTTTTTCCAAATTAAAAATATGTTCAAGATAATGAAGGAAAAATAAATCTTTACCTTACTGTATCTTACGTACCTCAATGTGAACTATCTTAAAAGTAAACCAATTATAGTTTTCAAAGTGGAGAAATCAGAAATCTTTTTATTTTGTCTACCACTCAGAATTTATTTTTGTACATGAGCAGCTATATAGATTTGTTTATTTGCAGTCTTGTCATCTTTATCAATGTTTATGAGATCATACACAGTGATAATGCGAGGTGTCCTTAGCTCCAATTAGAAAATGTTTACCCATATTGCAAGCTTTCCAAGCGAATGTCTACAAAACAATGTCTAGTTTCCTTTTCCAATTTGAATATCTATAACCCTTCTTAATATGTCATTATTTTTAAAAAATAAAATTGAGACTAATCCTCATATAAATTATGTTCTTAATCCAGTGATAAAAACCCTGCCACCATGCTCTAATTAAAGTCACACTGTTAATGACTGCTCATCAACAAATGAACAAACTGACACTAAAGTTCTGTTTATGTTGGGAAACTTAATGATTTTAGTCAGAAAATTTCAGGGTCTTCTGGTTTTAGTTGCTAAGCATGCACACTATTTCTTGGAAATTGGAAAAATTCTCATGCAGTTTTGCACATATCTGACATAGCTATTATTTGATATCCAACCTTTCCATGGGGAAAATGGGGAATAAATCTAAAGTGTTCCTTTAGATTTATTAATTAACAAAGATAAATGACAATATTATCAAATATTAACTAAGTATTAAAAGCTTAATATTATCAACATGCACATGTATTTTCAGGGTAGATTATTCAGGGTGATCTCTAAATAAATGTGAAGAATTTAATTTTACATATTTAATTTAAAATGTGAAAGGAAATGAAAGAGGAAAGCTGTAACAGGTATCAATGAAAGTGGTCTGAACTTGCATAATTAGGATACTGAATACAGACTCGAGTTTCATTACAATGAAATGCTAAAAGCATGAAAAATATGCTTGATATAAGTTTTGGTTTTGATTAATATAAAAGCAGGAAGTCATACATTTGTGACACTTGCAAGTTATTCACCATAGAAAGGTGCTAGTGGAAGCATGAAGGATCAATTTGGTGAAAAAAAGTTGTGTAACATTCTGAATGAATACAGTTTCAGAGACAAGTTATTATTTTGGGAGGCATAAATAGATGGGTAGAAACAAGACAAGAAAGTAGACAAAAGGTGACAAGGCCATTTGGTAAAGTACAACTAAGAATGGCTGCATATGATTTTTTTTTTGGGGGGGGGGTGTCATGGATTCAAAAAAATCCATGGAGGTAAAAGAGCTCAGAATGAGCTTTTTTTTTTTCAGAATTATTCTGAACATCCCAACCATTACCTCTGTGCACTCTATCTTACTTTTGCTGTTTCTCCCACCACATTAAATTTGATCGTGTTCTATTCTATTTTCAGACAGTTATCCCATTGACAAAGAAGCTACAGTAGATAACCAGGTAGGTAGAAACCTGATATCCTTTATGTGTAAATGTTTGAGAATAAAATGATGAGAAGAAACTTGTAACTGATGTAAAATGTTGCAAGTGTAATCGGCATAACTACAAAAATATGGATGCAGTTTGTTTATACAATGACTATACAACGTATTTATGTTTGAGAACTGCACCTCGACTTAAGGTGGAACAAAGATTTAAAATGAAAGATTAAGAATAAATGTAAAAACTATATGTTGTTATATTTTTAAGTGTGACTGGGAAGATGGTGAGACAGAACTGTGATTAAATATACAAGGAATGACCAGATTAAACTTTGCGAATTGCAATGAAATATTATACTGGGCAGATGCACTGTATATATATATGATTTTGCTTTTCAACAGGTCATTGTAAAATGTTTGTATAAATACAATTATACACAACTGATTAAGGAAAATTATCATAATTATTTAAGAAAGATAATCGATTTTTTCTAGATTTAAGACAGGATGAAAAGCTCAAATTATAGAATAATATGAAGATGAAGGTCGGTTAATGAGCAGGGTAAAAGCAGAGCATAATGGAGATAAAAGAATGTATGAGAGTGTATGGAATGCTTATCTCAAAGGTGTTTTTTCAAAGGGCAACTGCACTGGTTTTTTCCTCGAGGAAGAAGAAAACAACATTTCACTTCTCACCCAAAAAACTTCACTAGTTGTAACTGGATGGTGGGTTTAATAACTATTACAAAATAATGTTTATAAAGATAGCCTATGAATTGGTGGTGCATTTGGTGGAAGCAAAGAATGGCATCAAGGATAGGAAATTGTTGAAAATTACAGTGAATGGTGTTAGCATAAGATAGATTTAGTTAGTTCATTTGCTTTCATATCTTGCCTTTATTTTCTTTGTTTGTTATTTGTTTTCTCTATTCTGAAATTTGCGTAAGACTCCTTTCTCCAAAAGGAAACAGTATGTAGGGTATATAGGTAATCCAAATGTTCCAGGTAAAACCATTTTTAATGCATTAGTGGATGAATTTATATTATGCTATTGCAACATCATAGATAATTTATTCACAGAACAATTTATTCATAGATGCATGAAACTTACCCACACATTCTTCACGTGATGAAGACAATTCATGCCCAAGAGGACAGTCACACTGAAAGCTTCCTTCAGTATTCAAGCATTTCCCACCTCTACAAAGAAGGGGGTTACGTTCACATTCATCTATGTCTGAAAAGATTTGAAAGGACATGTTAAATGGACATGGAAGCAACAAGAAACAATTACATTCTAAGACCCTGTTTATAAAAACAATGGCAACTTATCTCTTCTACATTTTGTAATAATAATAGAATACGTTATTTGGCCAAGTGTGATTAGACACACAAGGAATTTGTCTACAGTGCAGAAGCTCTCAGTGTATATGGCAAAGCAACAAAACAATGATATTACAGGAATAAGGGTAATTTGGTGCTTACAAAATCCTATTGACACTTTTAAAACCCAATATATTAAGGTTTCCTTTTACTGCTATTTCTGAAGTTCTTATATATATTCTAATATGTGCAAAAGGATCATGTCCCACCATATTTTTTAAAGATTTGTTCTAGACTATAAGCAGCAAAATAAGTGCTAAGACCCATGTACTTTTCATAAGTAGTATGTGATCTTTTGTTACTGCTGAAAAACCTTGTTCTGTAGTTTAGACTACTATTTAGTTGAATGTATTGCTAGTTGTTCTGAAAGAGAAAGAGTTTTATTTTTAGATTCAGTGTTAGTGGCTTCCATTAGTCCCATAGCACTTATTTGTACTATTATGGGGTATCATGACTCTGAATACTATACCAAATCATCAAATAAAAATGCAAAATAAAAATAGCACATATCACTAAAGCAAACTAAAATAATTAAATGGCAATCAGGATTAAAATGCATGTAAAATATAGTATAGTGTATTATAGTATAGTAGAATAATGTAATGTAACATAATGTAACATAACATAATGAGTTCCCCAAACTTTCTGACTGTGTGGACCATCAAGTGTGTGTGTGTGTGTGTGTATGGGGAGACGGAATGGGTCTATGCGAGCAGCAGGCACACGTGCAACTCCATTTGCACAAGTGGTGGACATGTGTGCCCACTGCTTGCATTAATGGAGCATGAGTGCACGTGCTCCTACTCTGCTCATGCAAGTGGGAATGCGCACATGTGTACTCATCCACCACTTCCGCTGTCTGGTTTCGAAAGGCTGAAGTTCTGGTAGTACACTGCAGCCCAGGGGTTCAGGACCTCTGTAATATAATATAGTGTAGCGTAGTGTAGTATAGTATACTATAGCATAGTACATGAATATGTAGATAAAGAATTGTTGTACCCCAACTGTAAAAATTCTCAGTCCAACGCTAGTGGAGAATTTAAAGCTGAAAAAAAAAACCCTATAAAAGTTCCACCACTCACCCATACAGTTTTTCATCATCATAAATCCACTTTCATAGCCCTCAAAGCATTGACACTCAAAGCTTCCTGGAGTGTTGACACAAGTTCCACTTCCACAAAGATCAGGTGAGATACGGCATTCATCAATATCTAGTTCCAGAATAAAAAAAAGGAAACTATGTTATCGTTAACACAAGTATCAAATAAATTAGTTCTCCAAAGAACAGAAACAAGAATACGGTTCAAATGCAGAGGCACCAGGAACCTTACAATTATTGATTGGAAGAATAATGACTGAAAAAGAAGGTGATATTTATATAATGAAAGAATGCACTGCTATAACTAGCAATTTCTACAATCACTGACAATAAATCAATATTTATTCCTTCTCATTCTTCTCAAATTTCTCCCTTTCTACTGAAAGTATTTATAAGCAAATGACCTCATAAGGAGGATAGAAGTTAACCTTACTAGATTCCTAGGTTACTGTCTGCACTATGGAAAATAATACGAGTGTCTCAAGAAGATATACCATGGAAAATGCAGTATGGTAGTCTTGATCTATGTTATGCCGTCCACCTTCATACTTAAAGACTACATCATGAATCTGGAAACAGATAACATGAACTGGTATTCACACTGGGGGCCATGTTAATCAGCATTTGAATTTCAATAACCACAACCAGAATTAGATTTATGTTGATATTCATAATTTTTTATACTTTCTATCATATCTGTAACAGGCATTTTAATTGTATAACTTGCTCTGTGTGGATGGATGGATGGATGGATATACAAATAGACAGACAGACAGACAGATGGACAAATAGATAGATACTGCCAGGAGGAAACCAAAGGCTTTATTGATTGATTGATATTGAAATACACTTCTTTCACATTGCTCTGAGATCTCCAGAACAGCTGGCTGGCAAATATGGCAACCAATAAGTCTTCTCTTCCTGCATTTTCTTTTCTGCTTCAAACTGAAAAAAATGGCAGAAAGCTTGCCCACCCTTATTAATGAATGTATAGGAGGACAGGAACGTAAGTTACTTCTCAAATTGGCTGGACTAGAAAAGAAGTGAGATAAGCCAATCAAAATTCTAAGACTGAAAGAAGATTTCAAGTATATTCTTTCCAATCTAGCAGCAGAACGGAAGAAAACATTAACTTATGCATGTTTCTGACACAAAAAAGAACAGAAGGCCTTCCTGGAACAGCATGCCAAGCCTCTTCCTGACTTACTCAGTTGACATTCTAATCTCTCACTACACATTATGAGAGAAAAGAAAGAAAGGTAAATGTGATAGCATGAGTATAAACTTACGTGGGACTCTATTTTTTTATTTAATGACTGGGAAATTGGCCTTGCTCCCCTAATGAGAGAATTGACCTTTCTCCTAGTGATGAAGTGACTCTATATTAGAGGAAAAGGAAATTCTCCTTAAACATGATAAGTATAAGAATTCAGGGTAACATTTTCTTTCCAAACTTTAAGTTAAGTTTGGCAAGAACATTTTTATGAATACAATCTTTATAAAAACAAGGAAAACAATCATTATATAAACAAGGAAATAACTGCAGCAGTATTAATACCAAGAAAACCTTGATTTACATGTCTTGCCACACACATTTTACATTACTCTGGTGATTTAATTTCTACCGTTCCAGAACAAACTTCTTTTCACTTTAAATGTGCAACCACCCACAATGTAACCAACTATCCTTCACAGATGTATAAAGTCACTAACTAAATCTCAGATTTTTTAGATGCTAAAGAATTGTTTTTCCTTTCAGAACAATGTTGGACAGTGATTTATTTAGAAAGGTTGAAGCATATTCAAACAAACTAAGCCAGTTTATGATAATTTAAATAACCTGTCTTTTCTCTTGACTCTGAACATTTTCCAATTTTTTTTTACATTAGTATTATTGTTATTTTAAATGCAGTAGTACAATTGCATTTTAAGAAATCTTTGTAAGCACTCTACTGTCAGCAAGATTCTTACTTATGCTTTTCTCCTTAAGAGTAAAAAAGATGAGATTTCTACAGGTAGTCCTCAACATACGACCACAACTGAGCTGAAAATTTCTGTTGCTAGCTGAAAATTTGTTAAGCAAGTTTTGCCCCATTTTACAGTTTTTCTTGCCACATTTGTTAAGTGAATCACTGCAGTTATTAATTTAATAACACAGCTGTTAAGTGAATCTCGTTTCCCCATTGACTTTGCTTGTTAGAAGATCACAAAAAGGATGACTCCAGGACACTGCAACTGTCATAAATATGAGTCAGTTGTCAAGCATCCAAATTTTATTTACGTGACTGTGGGGATGCTGAAATGGTGATAAGAGTGAAAAATGGTCATAAGTCAGTTTTTTCAGTGCTGTTGTAACTTGACTACCTGTATTTTTAAAAAGACACACTGAGTATATTAGTAACAAAACGCTGGACCTAGCACTCTAAGCAATGGACTTAGCATTTTTAAACTGTGGCATTGTGTGTTAAAATAGATCGAGATAAATATTTTCTAAAGGCTTGCTTCATATTAGCATAACCTATCAGAAACAAAAGAACTGGAGAAAAATTTGTTGCTTCTGTGTTGTTGTCATTGTTATTATTATTGTTATTATTATTATTAATTTATTCAAGATCAAAGAATTAACAATGCCTGCAGATAGAAAAAATGAAGCAAGAAGACCCCAGAGCTAGCAACTACTGGAATGTAAAAGTTGCTTTACCTTTAAGGCTGAAAATTTGAAAGAAATTCTTTTCTGCTTTTCATTAAAACAGTCCAACTTTCCCACTTTTACAGCAATATACTGTCATGTGAGTCTGAAAAGTTAGCCTGCATTAATGAATAGCAAATAGGTTGTTTACATGAGAGGTCCAAAACACTTCTGAATCATTTTCAAAGCATGCATAACCTTACTTACAAACATCTAATTCCCCCATTGTAGATCTTGAACACCTGTGGACCGACTATTACATTGATATTTTTCAGAATATTTTTAAAATGAAAAGTGTACAAAAATGGTTAGTTTTGGTAGAAAAATGGAAGGTGGAACAAAACTACTCAAATCTTTACAATCTGGTTATTTAGCCATTCAAAATTTAGATTGTAGGAATGTTGAGAAAAGCAATGCTTTAGTTTTCTAATGAACATTAGAGGTTGATATCAATACTTTTCAAACTACTTATTGAAAGATCGATACACATGATCGGTAGTGAGAATCTAATGACAGAAGTCTCTCAACTGATAAAGCAGTGAAAGACAATCCTTTATATGTACAATTTACCTGTGCAATTTCTCTCTTCCATATCAAGCGCAAATCCATTATTGCATCTACATTTGAAGCTTCCAATCGTATTTCTACATTTGCCATTTGTGCACATGCCAGAGAACATTTTACATTCATTTATATCTGCAACAAGAAAATAAATGCATACTTTATAGATTCAAGAGGTTAGTTATCAGATAGAAAAATGTACTCATACACCCTTAAAAACATCATAAAGCACAGGAATACATCTGGACAATGATTATAAATAAGTGATAAATGGTTTTAATTTTCCATTCATTTGAATGCCTTATACTTATTTTGTAGATCTTTTCATCATAAAATAATTCTCCAAAGAAAATTCAGACCACTATGAATTAGTTATGAAACCATATTTTCTCAAAGTGCATAGTAAGCTCTTTCATTTTTGCTTTAATATGATGAACAAGAAAGATATCACTATCTGAAATTAGGAATTGTGCTTCTTTGTGGTTGGCAGTTAATAACATGTCACTTAGATTAAATACGAAAAGATATAGATTTATTTTGATGTAGGCAATAAAATCATTAAATTACCAAGCAAGTTTGTGAAGTCATAATTAAAATAATAACATCCGATATACAAAAGGGATGTTTTTGTACAAACCATTTCTCATAATATTGCCTAGAAAACTGCACATGCTTGTCTACATAGTTAGTAGGAGTTAAGACTTAATAAAATGCAAAAACAAAACAAACAAAATCCTAAGGAATAACAGCTTGGTTTAATGATTAAAGCACTGGACTTGAGTGAAGAGACTTCAATTCTAGGCTGCTTTAGGTACAGAAGCCAAATCAGTGATTTTGGCCTCTCAGCTGTCTAAAGAAAGCATTGGTAAACAATGTCTGAAAATGCTGCCTTGAAATGCTGCCTTGAAAGGGATAGATTGCATGGCCAATCTTGCATTTCTGAGAGGGCTCCTTGATTATTCAGGCAGTAGTCTGAGAATTATAAATGTGTATTACCAAATAATTTCATTTTTTCACAGAAAATTAGGCTCAATAATTCAGTTGACTCAATAAAGAAATATAATTGTATTTATGGTTATATCTGATTCAAACATTAGAGACAAAAATACTTAACTGAACAAAATCTCTTTGGCTGCAATTCATTACATAAAGACTTGGATAAGTGCTACTCAATGCCATGTATAGGACTGCATAACACTTGCATATTTCAAACTTTTGAAAGAACCTTTTGTCATCCTGGATAAAGTAGTAAAGATGTACTTTCCACATTCTCCTTTAAATTATACAATGGTAAAACTAGACCTTACAAGGCAGATGCATTTAGTAGTTTCCTAACATCTGTAACAAAAAACATCTGTTAGGAATGCTGTGCAGAAGAGCTGCTTAAATGTTTCTTCTCTAACCATTTTCCCAGTCAAAAACACTTTTTTCAGCTATTTCTCATTTGAAAGAGAAAATATATGATTTTGAAATATGATTTTGAGTGGAAAATATCTCTAGGGGAAAGAACTTTCATTCCTCACCAAATTCAAAGTCCTTTGTAGCTGCTTCAAAAGAAGAGAGGGAAAAAAAAAGAAAACGCTTATTTGTTTTTGCTTCAATTACATCATATATAGTATATATTTCATATGTTTTGGAGAAGATCTTCCAAGCATAGCAGAGGAGAGAAGAGATTTATGTTAATTGTTTCAACAATTGTGTACTTTATATAAGGATTTCATTTTTTTAATCAAAAGATATCTATTAAAATTGTACAGGTAGACATTGACTTATGACCACAATTGAACATAAAATTTCTGTTGTTAAGTGAGACATTTGTTAACTAAGTTTTGCCCCATTTCATGGCATCTCTTGCCATAATTGTTAAATGAATCATTCCAGTTGTTAAGTTAATATCACAACTGTCAAGTGAATCTGGCTTCTCTATTGACTTTGCTTGTCAGAAGGTCGCAGGGGATCACATGACCCCAGGACATTACAACTGTCATAAACAAAAGTCACCTGCTAAGCATCTGAATTTTGATCATTTGACCATGGCGATGCTGCAATGGTCATAAGTGTTAAAAATGGTCATAAGTAACTTTTTTCAGTGCCCTTATAACTTTGAACAGTCACTACACGAATTGTTACAAGTCAAGGACTACCTGTAGTTGCTGGATTATGAGTCCTTGTAAAGGGAACACTTACACAACACAATGTAACTCCTAAGTCAATCACACTTCTGTGAAATCAAACTGTCCACTTAGGTAGCAACACTGATTGACAATCAATTTCCCATGCTGTTGTGCAAATGGAATAGACAACAGGTGGAAAGCATAGGCAGTTAGCAAGATATCCCCAATAAAGGAGTGGTTCTGCAGGTGGTGACCACAGAACACTTCTCAGTTCCTATGCTTTCTGGCTGATGGTTTGGTCACTTTTGAATGCTGGCGGGGCTTCCACTCTAGTGGTAGCGTGAGACAGAGTCTACAACCCACACAAGTGGCTCAGGTAGTGCAGCTCATCCTGGATGGCACATCAATGCGAGCTGTGGCAAGAAGGTTTGCTGTGTCTATCAGCGTAATGTCCAGAGCATGGAGGCGCTAACAGGAGACAGGCCAGTACATCAGGAGACGTGGAGGAGGCCGTAGGAGGGCAACAACCCAGCATCAGGACCGCTACCTACACCTTTATGCAAGGAGGGACAGGACGAACACTGCCAGAGCCCTGCAAAATGACCTCCAGCGTGCCACAAATGTGCATGTGGCTGCTCAAACAGTCAGAAACAGACTCCATGAGGGTGGTATGAGGACCCGACGTCCAAAGGTGGGGGTTGTGCTTACAGCCCAACACTGTGCAGGTCATTTGGCATTTGCCAGAGAACACCAAGATTGGCAAATTCGCCACTGGCACCCTGTGCTCTTCACAGATGAAAGCAGGTTCATACTGAGTACATGTGACAGACGTGACAGGGTCTGGAGACACCATGGAGAACATTCTGCTGCCTGCAACTTCCTCCAGCATGACTGGTTTGACAGTGGTTCAGTAATAGTGTGGGGTGGCATTTCTTTAGGGGGCCGCACACAGACCTCCATGTGCTTGCCAGAGGAAGCCTGACTGCCATTAGGTACCAAGATGAGATCCTCAGACCCCTTGTGGGACCATATGCTGGTGCTGTTGGCCCTGGGTTCCTCCTAATGCAAGACAATGCTAGACCTCATGTGGCTGGAGTGTGTCAGCAGTTCCTACAAGATGAAGGCATTGATGCTATGCCCATTCCCCAGAGCTGAATCCAATTGAGCACATCTGGGACATCATGTCTCGCTCTATCCACCAACGCCACGTTGCACCACAGACTGTCCAGGAGTTGGGGGATGCTTTAGTCCAGGTGTGGGAGGAGATCCCTCAGGAGACCATCTGCCACCTAATCAGGAGCATGCCCAGGCGTTGTAGGGAGGTCATACAGGCACGTGGAGGCCACACACACTACTGAGCATCATTTTAACTTGTTCTAAGGACATTACATCAAAGTTGGATCAGCCTGTAGTGGATCAGCCTTTTTTCCACTTTAATTTTGAGTGCAACTCCAAATCCAGACCTCCATGGGTTCCTAAATTTGATTTCCATTGATAATTTTTGTGTGATTTTGTTGTCAGCACATTCAATTATGTAATGAACAAAGTATTTAATAAGAATATTTCATTCATTCAGATCTAGGATATCTTATTTTTGTGTTCCCTTTATTTTTGAGCAGTGTATGTGTGTGTGGGGGGGGGCATTCAGCTTTCTTCGGGTATTTTCCCTTTTATATGGTTCATATAAAAGTCTGACTCACAGATGAACACTACATAGAAGCCTGATGATGGCAGATGAGATTCTGCCGAAACGTTGCTACAACTTTAAAAGCACAACTTTAATGACGTGGGAAAATACCCGAACAAAGCTGAATGCCATACATGTAAGTACCCGCGAAAACTTAAGAAATATATATATATATTAATGAAGCACATAAGGTTTGTCTGAAATATTATTCTTTACCTTTGTAAAATGGCCTTCCAGTTAAAATATCCCCACGGTTGGAGAAGCCTGGACCTCTGGGGCATAAGTCTTCATATTCTTTTGTGCCTGGCTTGGGGCATTCCTCGCAGTCGGAACCCCAAGCAGCACCTATAGCACAGCAACACGTGTCCATACGGAATTTTCCAGGTACAGGTTGAACACAGTCATCTTCATCCCATCTCAGGTAACACTGCTCCATTCGGATATCTACATGTGTCATTAAAATTAATCGGAAAGATAAATACGAAAGATTCCCATTTGCACTTGTCAAATATAATAAATATTATAATTAATTCAAATTAAATATGAATTCAAAAGAACGCTATTTCTTCCGCAACTATGCTTGAAAGTCTTTCTTATGGATTAAAAATAAGAACAGATTAAAGACGATTATTACTTCTTAAAGAAAAAAGTCTTCTCAATATCACAGAAGTTACTACAAAGTAGCATATATACAAGAGGGCAGAAGGATGAAAACAGCATGGTAGATTTATGTTGTAAATTTTTGTATATGCACTAAACCGTGGTGGCAAACCTACAGCATGCATGCCAGAGGTGGCAAGCAGAGCCATCATCTTAGCTCAGCTATGCTGCACATGTGTGCGTGTGTTTGTGCCTCCTGCCGGCTAACTGATCTTCAGGTCTCTGCTGTGCATGCGTGGGGGAGGTGCATGCACATGGAGCTCATGTGCGTGGGTGCATGTGTGGAGGGGCACGTGCATGGGTCGCATGCATATGCAGTGGCATGGTGCATGTGCGTGTGTTGCATTTGGGGGATGCGTGGGTATGCGCTTGCTTTGGCCACTTGGTGCCGAAAAGATTAGCTATCACTGCACTATAATCTTGCATGCATGTACAAAAGGACTAGAACCTGCAATTGTAACACCACTATGCTGCTTTGTTCAGCCTGACAAAATTCCTGCAGAGGTTTATCTTTTTAAAAGCAATTTTAAATGTATTACCTATTCTGAATACATGTTAACACTATAATAGAGTTAGGAAAGTTATATATGTTATTTTATGGTGAGAGAAGCATAGCCCTGTTTTTAATTTTACTGCAATTTAGTTGTTTTGTAAAATTAATTCAATATGTTTACAGATGCATTACAAAATGCTGGCATCTAACAAGTACAAATATAATGTGAAATTCCAAGAAGTGGGTGGAAAGTACATCTGCAAATGAACCAATAAAAACAAAACAGAGGCTATTGCATTACATATATTTTCCTGAGCATTTCGGTCATTCTGTGATATCTAGAAGAGGTCTTAGGTGGAAACAACTTCCATGTATTAAGCAGACTTCCTTTCCAATAAATATGATCAATATATCCCAAAGATGCATTTTTCAAGAGGCAACTGGACTTTCTGGGTTTTCTTTGAAGATGTTCCACTTCTCATCCAAGAAGCTTCTTCAGCTGAATTGGATGGTGGGGAATGGAAGGATTTATACTTCTTGCAGACAGCTGATCATTTGCATTCTTTTAGCGGGTCATTAAAGTCACCCAGAGATTTATTTATGTCATCAGGGTCACCTGAATGGTGCAAATGGGTGTGGGGCTTCTTGGAACTGTTGAAAGGACTGTGTTGTAGACTGGAGATAGATGATGTTGTATCTCTCCCCCTCTGTTGGGAGAGGGCTGTTCAATGTTGACATAGATGGCCTCTTTAACCCGTCTTTCAAACTAGTGGTCCTCTCTGTCCAAAATGTGGACTTAGCTGTCTTCGAGAGTGGCTTGTAAAATCCTTCCATCCCCGCACCATCCTGCCAGAGAGCTGAGGAAGCTTCTTGAATGAGAAGCAAAATGTCTTCAAAGAAAAACCAGAAAGTCCAGATGCCTCCTGAAAGAAGCACCTTTGGGACAATCATGACCTGGATGACTGAGAATCACTGTAGACATTTATGATCAACATATTTGCACGTATGTATGTATATAGGTACATGTGTGTGTATGTGTGCATATAATTCTAGTATGTAATTCTTGTCTTTAGCCTCTCTGAATCTGAAGTTAAACCTCAACACGTGCACAATAAATGCAAAAAACACCTGTCCTATCTCATTTTTCTTTGGTTAACAAAGATGTCTTAAGATTCTGAGACTTCAGATCTACAGCATTTGGATGATAACAGACTAGAAAAGATTAATGTGCATGAATGATAAAAGTTGAGGATCTCCTTCAGGGTAACTTGTAGTGCCTTATGTAGATCGATAGAAACTTAAGGGAAATACTCACCCAAACACACCCTGCCAGTTCCATCCAATGTCAGACCACTGGGACATTCACAATGAAAAGAGCCTCTGCTGTTGATGCACCGCCCATTGGGACACACCCCCGGAAAAACTTCACACTCATTTACATCTGATATATACATAAAAGGGAGTTTACAATCTACTCTTATAGACATACTGTGTATCAGAACTATAAAATAGTATATTTCTTAAAAATAAGTTACGTTTTCTTTATCCAGCTATATTTCTTGAAGTAAGAAAGTGCAAGTACAAATAAGGATACAATGCTATATATACCTATTTTTGAGGAAGCTCTACTAAGCAGTGAAACTTTATTTTGAATATTTAGCTGTAAAATTGGACAGTCATAATTGAACTGATTTATTTTTTAAAAATGAAATGTGATTGTCAAAGTATCTGTGGTGATAAAGACCACAGATACTTTGTTGGATTCATAGTTTTTTGTTTTCTATAGACTGCAGCTAAAATCAGGATTCAAAATGGATTTTGCATATAACTTTTGAACTGCAAAGAATTCGGTTACATACACTTAGGAAATATTTCTTAATCCAAAGAATAGGTAGCTAAAGTAGTTTTTAAAATGTCAGTCATTTAGAAGATTTGGTCCCCTACCGGAAAGAACAGGACTGGATAGTTGATCGAAAGGTTAAGGCCATGGATAGGGGTCCTTTGACCAGCTTTGGTTGGTGGCTCACTTGTGACTCTTTTTATAGCCAATAAATTTTTGCAACAGTGACTTTTCACCTTACGCCTTAATATTAGAATGTTATGACATTCTGCCTTTAAAAATCATTCAGAAAGCACAAACAATGCAGAAGGCAGTTCCTCACTTGCAGACAGGCGACAGCTGCTTTAGCTGATTAACCCCAGTTCTGTGGGTACAGCAGAATTCTGAGGACAATTCAAAATGGTGGGGGAGCACTATAAAGTCTTAATTCCTGGTTATTATTGGAACCATCGCCTCTGAATAGAACATTCTCTGCAATTCTTTAAGGGATGCTTCAGGATCTGACCTTATAAGAAATATGGAGAGTAGGTCCAGAGCCATGCCTTGTTGTTCCTCTATCGCTATGGAACAGCTCACCCAGAAGGACAATTGACATCAATCCCACTGAACTTTCAGAAAGTGGTTCTATTTAACTGAATGTTTGCAGTTGCCTTAGACTAGTTTTGGAGAATATTTTCACATTTATATTTATTGAACTAGTTGGTTTAATCATTTAATTTAGCTGCGTTATTGTATGCTTTAATGTTTTTAGTACTCAAAGACTTGGGATAGAATAATATACAATTTCTTCAATAAATAAACACATAACTGAATAAATACATTTTGCTGTAATAGTATCGTTGCCTTAAGTCCTTCTACCTCTTCCAAAAGAAAGCTTTCTATCATGAAAACAATTAAGAGGAAAATCGCTTTATTACTTCCAAAAGTAAGTGGGAGGAAAACAATACTAGGAATTCCATGTTGCTAGCAAGAGAACTTTATGGGTGTGCTTGAATAAGCCACCATGATTTCTTTAGTAAAGCAGCAGGACGTAGCCAACCATGGCGGAACTCAGAAATTAAGCAGGATTCGAAATGGTCCATAATTAAGTGGGATACAACCAAGAAATACAATAGTTTTAGACTAGATTGAAAAGTTGGAAAATATTCCCAGAAGAACTATTTCTATTTTGTTGCCAGAAAATAACTGGAACCTGAAGGAGTTGAAATTAACTCAAAGGAAAATTTAGAATAGTATTATTCTAACATAAAAGGTAGTGTTCATTGGAGAATAAATTGACTTCAAAAGCAATTTGGATCATATGATACTTTCATTTTATTTTGTTAGTTAAAATAACTCAAATAGTAACAAGCTTACCTTCACAAGAAACACCTTTGACTCTTGCAAATCCTCTAGGGCATGCAGTATCTGTAAGAGAAAAGAAGAAACATTTGGAGAAATACACACACACACACACTTAATTTAGAACGGGATAAATCAGTTTTTAAAAGGGAAACATTTATTACCAACTATATTAAGGAAAAAATATACTTAGAGAATGATTGTTGGAGTAGTAGAAAATAAGACCAATATTGCAAATCCCACTATCCTAATAACAAAATATTTCATGCTTTATGAACTAACAATATATTAATAAATCCATGTCAGATTTACATGTATTTACTCATTATCCCATTTCTCCCATTTCAAAAGAAAAACTGGAAGTACATTCAGTATTTTCCCCTAATATGTACATCTTATATAACTTTACTAAAGACAGACTTTTATAAGTACGGGTGTTCGTACATGCATCCAGGTTAGGTAGGACTTCAAATTCAAAGAGAAATTTTTTTTTATTACATTTATAAATACATAACATAAATATAGAAAAATATCCTGTATATGCAGCATCTGTCAATAACCCTTAATGCAGCTGTAGCCTGTATCAGGATCATGCAGCTGCTGTACAATCCTAGGAAGATGTTTTTGATTTATGGAATTACTGACAAATGCCATTTTCTCTTTAAATGCAAAATTCTGTATACATACATACAAATACACAAACACACACACACACACACACACACACACACACACGCTCTGGCAATGGTCACTCATGATCTTATCACCTCAGCCACATCATACACTATGTCAGCCTGAAGCTATTCTGAAAATGCTAAATATATAACTGCGACTGTGTGGAGGTCAACTGGGACTCTTTAATATATCTATAAACATTTGTAAAGGAGATGTTTTCTTGGCTACAAATTGATTCGAGATACAAGTGTCTTAAGACCTGTGAGACCATGTACTCAGATAGAATCTGCCCACCCAAGGTATGTTTGAAGAAAGTTTGCTGACAGTCACCATATCCAATCAGATTCAGTGGAAAGAAGACAAAACTTTTCAGGAACACCCATATACCAGAAATAAGACCTGTAGCTTCATTCCTGGTTCTTAAGAAACTGCCAAAAACTCAGTTAAAAAAAAACACACATTTGAGACATTTTGATATTGCCGTACTACAGATAGTCCTTGACATATCTGTAGTACAGCAATATCAAAATGTCTCAAATGTATGACAGGTCACTTAGTGACCATTCAAAGTTATGACAGACCCCTCCAAAAACTACTTACAGGCTAATTTCAAAATTACAATTCCCCCACAATCCTGTGATTTCATTTGGTTCCTTGGCATCCAAATCATCTTTATAGCTATTTACAGTGTCCTGTGATCACATGATTGCAGTTTTTAAATTTATTTTTGCAGATTTCAGGTATTTACTTCTGCTTTCCAGCCATTGGGTAAAATGTATTTGCTTTATTCAATTAATGATCGCTACAAAAAAAAATATATAGTGTCCTGCCTAACAGTCACAATCCTGTGATTCTGGCCTGGATACAGTCCTAAATCAAGGACTTGCTATAAGCTGCCAAAAGTCAGAATGATTAAAGCGGCATAAATTGCACTTGAAATAAAAAAAATATCAACACATAAAAACTATAAGTAGTCCTCAACGTATGTCTTAATAACTGTGAAAATTACCATGGACACTCCCAGGTTACTTAAGACCCAGTTTTAAATTTTGATGGTTACCCCTACCTCGGTCACACAATCACTTTATGGCCATTTGCAGTGTGTAAAGGTTATGTGAACATGTTTGCAGATTTATAGCTGTTTTTCTATAGTTTCTAGTGTTTAGTTTTGTTTACCAGTAGAAAAAAAGTCCATTGGGAAAAAGTGATTTGCTTAAGAACCATACCATTCACTTAATAGCTACTACAAAAGATGTAAAAAAAATCTGGTGCAGTCACATAATGTCATCACTTACAATCATAATGACATTGGACAAACATTAAAACTAGTATACATTAAAGTAATAAAACAAAACAATAAGAATAATAAATAATTTTAACACAAAGTAAACCTGGTGTGGTATACATGTTCTACTGAAGCTGAACTCGAATTACACACACACAAATATATATGTATAGAATTTAGAAAACATTATGAAGTAGAAACCATACCAAATTCACAACGCTCGCAAGGACTACCCCAAGCAGCTCCCAGAGTAGCACAGCATTCTGATTTCAGAGTAGCTCCATTAAGATTCACTTCACAGCGATTATCTTGTATGTTCAACCAGCATGTTCCTTTCAGACTATCTACAGTAAATTAAAACACAGTAAGGCTTTCCTAATTCTTCTGTGGTAAAGCATATTCATTATAAATAAATAAAAAATAACTACTGCTCTTGTAGAAATTTACTGCTAGAGCCTTTCAAACTGGCTTGTCAAATTTTGCTACTATAGTATTGCTGTAAATGAGGCAATAATTTAAATACAAAAAAATATTTGGCATAATACATCTAGCAATTTTGTCTTTATGATACTCTTTTCTTTTTCAGCATAATTACAAAAGCATCCCCATCTCTCTCAATTAGGACACCAAATATAGATTATAATGGGAGAGTATAAAAAATGCATTTATACCTTTGACACTAGGGCAAGGTCTTGAACTTTTACTTTTTTATTTTCAATAATATTAAATTAACGCTTGTTCATTATGGAACATATTAACGCCTTAATATAATTATGAGAGATCAAATACAGAATACAGAAAATTGGAAAGGACTTTGGAGGTCTTCTAGTCCAACCTCCTATCCAAGCAGAAGTCCTATATACCATTCTGGACAATCTCTTCTTAAAACCTCCAAAGGTGGAGCATTTCAACTTCTGGAGGCTAGCTGTTCCACAGATCAATTGTTCTCACTGAAAGAAAATATCACCTTTATTGGATCAAATGGAACAAAGCAAGGGGTTTTTACTCTCTCATTAAAGGCCTCTGGCTTTATAATTCTTCTAAAGAACAGCAGAGTGGAGATTTAGATGGCCTAACATTCTTCTGTTGTTTAGAAGAGCCACGAAAACCAGGATCTTTACTCAGACTTTTGGCATGGACAGCACAACCCCGTGCTTCATTCTATCCAGCCTGATCTTCATGCCATTTTTGAATATTATTTATTCCCTTTAATTGGTTCTTCTTATAATTTCTTGCTTTCAATTACTGTGAGCCACCCAAATGCACAGTTCATGAGGAGACCTTATCAGTAAACCTTAATTAGAAAAATCCTAATTAAAAATTTATTCTTCTATTAACAGCAAACAACAGAAAATCTTAATCAGGATGTTTCTAAATGTAATAAATGTATCAACTGCGAATTACAACATATTTTCAGTGAGGTATATTTAAGATTCACTAAATAAAAGACAAATACTTTTTGTAACATTATATTCTGATTTTTTTTTTGAAGCTTGATAGCATTTTTTTGATGAAAAATGAATTTTAATCAGAATGTTTCCAGATAAGATATTGTATGGTGCTATTGTTCAGCTATATTATTTCTTGGATATTACCATATGCTCTTCTTATCTCTTTTAAAGACTATTGTGTAAATACAAATTAAAGAATTCATAATATTTTTTAAAAAGAAACCATTAGACTCACCAATACAAATGAAACCTGTAGAATCTAGTTTGCTGCCAGATAAACATTCACAAATGAAAGACCCAAGATTGTTCCTGCAAGCACCATTGACACAAGGACTGCTTTCACATTCGTTTATATCTATAATCCAGAAGGAAACATGTTAGACTCACTTTCTGGAAAATATTATAATGTATGAATCTTGCCATGAACAACATTATGCCAGAATGTCTGGAAAATGTATTCACTGATCTGAGAAAAGAGTTAAATGTCTTCAATGCAGAGAATGTATGGCTGGTAGATAACAGTGCCTGCATAATTTTGTAAGTGATAATTAATTGGTTACCTCAAATAACCTGGAAATATATTTTAGAATTTCAATTGAAGCAGTTTTCCAGAATAACTGTCTTTTGAGAGATCAAGAATACTTTTTAATGGAAGCAGCATGTTCTGTACAACAATATGTCCAAAAACTGTTTTTTCATTTATGGCTCATAAAGCTTTAAGATATTTTTTAAAAACTATAGAAACTAAATGTAATTGTGTTATGACTCCACTGACTCAGCCAGTTTGGAAAATAATACTATATAAGAGAATGAAGGGTATGTGTGATTGCAATAATCTTTATTTTCTTTTTCACATTCTTCTCCATTTTTTCCACAATTGTTTTTAAGTAATTCCATGTGAAGACATATCATCTGACAGCTGATATTAATTGCAGTAAGAGGTAAAGAAAGGGAGTTCTTAGTGATTTTATGGACATTGTGTAAATGGTATATGAAAAAGACCTTGAGATACAGCCTAGAGAACAATCAGATAAGAGAGGATATAGGCCACAGCTGCATAAAGGGTGGAGAAAGAGGCTTAGAAGACACCCTCCCTATCTTCACAGGCTTCAAAAGAAACAATGGAGATTTATACATTCATACTTTTAAGATTCTGTTAATTAGCATTACACTACAGTAGTTTATCTGGTGTGTTTTATATCTGGTATACCTAGGAAGGTTAACACACTATTATATGATTTTATTGGCAAGAATACCTGTACCCCTTTTTCCAGTATATTGTTCTGACTTCTAGGCTGAACATGTCTATAATAGTCCACATGATTAAATGGCACAATGGACAACCTTCAGACAATTGGGAACAACCTGTAATGGTACGTGAGAATGTATTTGATGAATGAGAGAAAGAGATGTTGTCTGAGGAACAAGACAAGACCTTGTCAGACAAGTCAAGGAAGAATCCCCAATAGCTTAATGGTCAAAGACAGAAACCTGGAAAGGACCTCCTATTGCTTTTAACTGTCTGATCAATTAGGGCAAATCCTGTCCCATTTTATCTTGAGCTTGTATGAAATTCTAGACTATGGGGGAGGAGATTTCTGAGTTTAAAATTCTTGAAACAACCATTTTGAATTCAGAATATTTTGATAAACCCTAAATGACAATGAAAATCAAAACAACAAATTTATTATTTAATGTACCAGATATTAACACATCTACCTATCTACCCAGCACCAAAATTCTATTAGCAATTCAATCTGGAAAGGAAATTAACTTGGACAAGGTGTTGAAAAGTCTGTTTTAGTTAATCTAAATCAGAGGTGTCAAACTCACTTTGTCATATCAGCATCACGTGACATATTGGGACTTTTCCCCCATTCACTAAACCAGGCATGGGCATGGCCAGAGTGTGAACCATCCGGCCCATGAGCCGGGAGTTTGACAGACCTGATCTAAATGAATCTGAGTTCCTATAAAGACTTTAAATCAATAAAAATGCTGGAAAATTTCTCAAGAGGGTAGGTGGAAATGGGGAATCTGAATTTATGTACAGCAGTCATATCTAATGATTAGAAAGTGTGCCTTGTGACTTTAGCCAAGTCACCTTTTTGGGGGTGCCAAATGAATAGAGGTTTTTTTCAGTGTTTTCCTTCTCCTACTCTCTTCTGCTAACTTTACACATGTTTAGTTGTTTAGAAACTCTCATAAATTTAAGACGTTGCCAGGGGTGTGGAGAAAATTTGCCCTTTTAAAATATGTACACTGTTTATGAACTGTAAATGTCTGTGTTCTTGTAACTTTATATTTCTAGAAATGTTATTAATTATAATAAACCTACCAAGCCCAAGTGGGTGGTGGTGTTAGAACCAACAAGAGCTAGGAACATTCCATGTTTAGCATTTTCCCATTCAAGGGTGATTAGACAAACTTTTACATGGTTTGATCTGTTGTGCCAGTTATGCCCTAGATCAGGGGTGTCAAACTCGATTTCATTGAGAGCTGCATCAGGAGCCGATGTGGGTGTGGCCAGGGTGGTCATGCTAGCTTGATGTCACTTATGTTGGGGACGCCTGTGGTGGCCCAAGTGCTCTGCCAGCGAACATGGGCTCCTGAGCTCCGTTTTTGACCACAATGGCCTCCTGGAGCCTCTGGGAGCTCAGTTTTTGCTGGCAAAGGGCTGCAGGGAGGCCATCGCACCTGAAAACAGAGCCTGGGAGGGCCGTGTGTGGCCCACCAAAGCTCCATCATTGATGGCAGAGGCACTGCAGGCCAGTCCTTCACTGTTTCCAGGGTGGTTCCCCCAGGCCAGATCTAAGCACCCTGCAGCTAAATCCAACCCACGGGCCTTGAGTTTGACACCCCTGACTTAGATTGTGGGAGAGAGTGGCTTCCAGACACTCATGCCCTGGTCATCTTACAGCTCAATTACTGCAATGCACTCTAATGAGACTGCCCTTGAAGACCACTTGTAAGCTTTAACTGGTCCAGAATGCAGTGGCACGGTCAGATATGGACATGTCTCTGTGTGCCCATGTAACACCATTGGTTTGCAAGTTGTACTGGTTGAAATTTTGCTTCTACGTGCCATTAGATGCTGGTTGCTATTTTCAAAGGCCTACATAGAATAGGGCCTAATTACTTGAGGGACCTCTGTCTCATATAATATCTGCCTGCTTGATTCAAGGTAGTAGGGTTGTTGGGTTGGTGATGTCTGATATTTAGAGGTATCATTGCATGATGTAAGCTGTTCCTAGTAGAGCTACTATTATCATTATTATTATTATTTACTAAGGGCAATTGTATGTAAACCTTTTAAAGACAAGTCCTATTCTTATATGGTTTGGACTATAGTGTTACATTTTATAACACTCTGTTTTCTTTGTTTTAATGCACCTTTGAGTATTTTATATATTTGCTACAACAGTCTAAGTAAGAACTAAATAACCTTATTTAAAATAAAAACTTATGACAACTTTCATTTCTGTTTTTCATAGATTTAAGACCAGATTATTTAATATTTCAATACACTTATAGGAGTTTGCAGTCATCTGGATTTAACTTTGCTTAGGACAGGTTTTGGGGGATTTTTTTATCTAATGTTAAAGAAAAAAAGATTATAAAATTATAAACAATTTTCCACTGTAATTTCCACATTAAAAATTTAGTTTAGCTGAATTTGCTCCTTTTATAAAAGTAACTTGTTATTTGTTTCTTCTTGAAAGTCAAAGCCAACATTTTAAATGTTCCTTGTGATTACATTACAATGATTTATGTATTGTTGTTTGTGTTCTGGATTCATGTATAACAGCAGGAACATGTTTATAGCTACAGCTATTCTTTGAAGCTAAATATCAAGATAAACAGATACAGTTAGCATCTCTTTGTTGTACTATTTCAGCCTTCATTTTTTAATAAATTCTCCTTAGTACTAAAATATTAAAACACATACGCAACCATTTGAACTCCCGACAAAGGATAACTTCAAATATCCTGCAAATTGATTTCCCTTAGCTCTTCCTCCCTATTGTCTTCTACATGCACCAAGTCTATCCTGGATGTTTTCCCCAACTCTTCTGAACCAGATTTGGGGGTCTATAAAAAGAATTTTATCCATCTGGTGGACAGCTTTTAAAACATGACACGCACTACAATGCTAAACATGTTTATTTAATGCAAGTCTCGCAGGGTTCAACAAAATCTACTTCCAATTGAACAGAATTGTGTTATATAAAATAACCCTTGTTGCAATGTTATTTGTTGTATCAATATATTTTTACACATATATATTCATGTATCCGGGCTATACAACAGAAATGTGATTTTTTAAAAATACTAACAAGATTTTCAATAAGATTTCAAATTATGTTGAGTATGATGGAAATTGGTTGTTTAGAGTGAACCAAAATGTAGATATGTAGAAAGAGTATATGTTAACCATAAGGTAGGTAAAAATCAGGAGCAAATTTTCCACTGAACTTTTGGGAAAGCTCTGAGAAGTGCTGCTTTATTGGGACATTTATAAAATTAAAGTGTCCCTGGAAGTGAATTTTTAATTTCTATTGGCTACAGTATGTTCCTGATAAACAGCCAAACTGTTCTTTTTAACAAAAAAGTGGATTCCAACTGGGCATTTTAAATTTGTTATAACATGTTGTATAAGATTATGATTCCACTGGCTATCATGAAGTTATTTCAGAACTTGAAATTATATTCTTTACAAATATTGATACTCTTATAGGAGCACTTGAGTTCTTGCTTGGCTATACAAAGTACAACTCAACTTTTACCGGTGTAACAGAATTGCTCTGCCACCACTTCACTGAGTTCAACACTTCAGATTTTGCGGATTTTCTGCACATTCATCAGCATGCACAGAACACATTTCTTCTGAAACTGGACAATGGGTAATTTGCCTCATCATTATCAACCAAAGGCGCCTTACTTTTCCATAGATCTCATAGTAGATCAGTTAATCAACTGGAATTGAAGCAGCACCTTTCAAAATTATTGCTGTGTATATGTATAATTCAAATCATATTTTGCTTTTATTCAGATTTTACATGTTGTAACAGTTCAGCAGATATTAATGTTATATAATAATTTAAAAAGTTATCTAGATTAGGCTAACTTTGTAGTACATGATAATATTTTCAAAAGATTATAGCCCAAAATTCAAACCCAGTAATATAATTCTCATTTAATAGCCTAACACACTTCCAGAATATTTAGGCAAATATGGCATTTGCCACCTTCATACACAGCATATAGAGGAATAGCTAAATATCTGTAAAATATCTGCCCATAACAACTAAAAAATTTATGTAACTTTACTAGCTATCAATTTAGCTCCAGTTAAGTCCTGCTTGTCCAGAAAAGTTTATTAGTATTTAGTGAATCAGACTCTAAGATTTGTCTACTTTAATGTCTCAAAAATTAAAAAAATTAGCTTATAATGAAAAATTGTAAGAATTAACAGTTTTGGCACTTTACATTTTTTTAAATGAAGAAGTCTGTAATTAAATACTTTACTAATATTATCAATTTAAATTAAGGAGAGAATTGATTAAACAACAGAATGCCTATTTTTAGTTAAAAATTATTACCTTCACATGTGTCAGTTTCACTGCTGAATACATATCCTTTTGGACACACACAGCTGTAACTTCCAGGTGTATTTCGACAAAGGCCATTGTCACATAATAATCGATTCACAAAACATTCATCAATGTCTAGAAAAGAAATAAATAATTCAAATTAGTTTATGTGCTAGAGAATGTGTTCTTCTATGAGAAAGCAATACCTACATCTCTTTTTCACATTACTAAGTTTTTCTGTAATACTTGTCTCACTCTAGAATATAATTATGAAAAGAAAAGTGTACCTTTTAATCTAATTAGTAATGATGTGCAAAGTTAGGGCTAATTTTTCGTATTATATAGTACATATTAACCAAACTAGTTTTTACTGCAGTAGATATTATATAAATAGAGAAACTAAACATTTTTTCATGAATAGGGTAAGCTTTCCATTAAATATAGTTGACACTGTTTAAAATGCAAATTATTATGATTTATTATAATAATGCAAATTAAAGGTGAATTCTGTTTGCAGAACTAGAAATTCACTGATACAATTTCTTATGCAGCTTCCTGTGCTGGTGTAATAGTATAGAAATATGGAGAGTCCTGCCTCCATATAACTAGAAGAGATTTTGGGTAAAATATACATAGCTCAATCTCTGGAGTCAATTAATTATTTCCCAATAACATGATCATCAACCATTATAGTAAAGTGAGACTTCTACATAGCTATGTATCTAAAAAAAACAAGACAAATATAATTGCTATAAACATAAACAAAATGTTTCGATAACAGAACATTATATAAGGCATGATGGTCATTTCTACTGCTTAGCTAAAGCAAGTAGGTGCTTATATTGGGTAGCAGTGAGAGAGGATATATAGCGATATAGGAAGATACAGGAGTCACATGAGTCACATTAGGGACAATAATGAAGCATCAAGTCATAATATGCAGAAAACTATTTCTGATTTTACTAAGAAAGCCACATGGATAGAAAATATAAAATGAATGACAATATATTGTTGGATGATCAGCTCCTCAGGTTGGATGTTACTCAATATGCTACCGAAGGAGAGCTGGGGATATTTCAAGGTGTCTAGTTGCCATACAACAGGCATGAAAAAAGATGAATGTGATTTTAAAATTTGGACAAAGAAACATCAATAATCAATGTTATACTGATGACAATGTGATACTGATAAAAATACAACCATGTGCCATTGAGTGACAAGGTAGATACCGAAGTGAATGATAGCTTCTGTGTTTCAACTATCCACAATGAAGTAACAAATAGTCAAGAAATACTCTGCAGACTAAAACTTAGTAGAGGAGACCCAAAGGCCTTGGAAAATAAATTGATAAATGCTGTGCTGCCTCTACCTTTCAGAATTCAGAATAATGCAAGCAATGGTATCTCCTATAACACTTTGTATAGATGAAAGTTGGATTGTAAAGAAACAGGATAGGAAGAGTTCTAAAGCTTTTCAGTTTTGGTGTTGGGAAAAGACTCCTGAGAATAAAAGGCAAGAAAATGATCATCCCAAAAAATCATCTGAGAATTCTCACTCAAGGCACAAACGATCAGTTTCGAACTACCGTATTACATTTCAGACACATTGTGTGAGGACCTATCCCTCTAAAAACATGAGGGAGAAATATGACCTCAGTTACTGTGGCAATGGATTAGAATTAAAAGTCTTAAAGGACCAGGCTAGGGACAGATTGTCATGAAGATAATAACAGATTGTGATGGAGAAAAACTATCCATATAAGGGCGTAAGAGGTGATACCAATTTGATGGCACGTAATCAAAACTAACAATTATTTTCTGGAATTGAGTGTCTGTGTAAGCCCCTTTTTTGGTCATTAAACATTTACCTGTTCTCTGTTAAAAAAACAACAATTATTTTCTTAATGCTGTATTTTTATTTTTTATCTATGCTAATAATGGATTGATAAGATGTTCTCTATGATTTTAGATCTCATATTTTATGTATAGGAAATGTATTTATAATACAAAAATCTAATAAATAGCTAAAGTAGCAACATATTTCGTAATTGTCACAAAAATGTCAATGTTTAATGGAAATTACTAAAATAAATTAGACAAGAAAATGATTTCCCTATAATACTGGAAGGTAGATATTATATGGTTAAATATATATGATATGCAGTTTAAAATTGGTCATAACTGTTATATGATACATAGTCAATAACTTATTGATATAAGTGAGGATATAGTAGAGGTCACTATTCTTTCTGCGTATCAAAATATTAAGGTATTAGAACAGTTTCAGAATGAATATTGTTCATATAACATACCAACACAATTTTGTCCTGAAACATCTGATTCATATCCACTGTTGCAGTTACAACGATAGCTGCCACGTAAGTTTTCACAAACCCCATTAGAGCAAATATCAGGATCTAAAGCACATTCATTTATATCTGCAATAACAATATAATGTCAGCGTATATTCTGCAGTACCTTTTATTAAATATTAAGGATATATTATTCATGAAGGTCAGCACAAGTTTATATTCAATATGAACATTAATTGATATTAAAATAAAATACCTTGGTTAGAAATCTAGAGACATATACATTGTTATTTAAAAATGGCATCATCAAAATATCCAACAAAATACAATGTATTTTCTGTATTAAAACAGAATGAACCCAATACTATGTGGTTCTAAAGAAAAGTCTGTATCATTATAACAATTTACATGCATAACAATGCAGGTAGTTCTTGACTTATCACTAGTCACTTAGTGACCATTCAAAGTTACTATAGATTCCAAAAAGGGTACTTATCATCTGGATTCAAAGTTCTGACAGCCACTCCCACCTATGGTCATGTGATCACATTTTGGGCACTAAGCTACTGGATCACATTTACAGGTGACTGCAGCACTTTACAACATATTTTCCTGGAAACCAGCATTTATTTTCAGCTTCCAGAAAAAATGTCATTGCACATGATGGGTTTGTGTAATGACCACAGCATTCACTTTACAATTACCACAAAAAAGTTAAAAAAAACAAAAACCAGATGCACTCATGTCCACTTAATGGCCAGCACAATTCTTGACTGTAATTTGGAGCTCAGTTACAGTTGTAAGTCAAAGACTACATTTACTTAACATTATTTTCTGTATGTGCATATTTTACCTCTTCCATCCACAGTAATTCCTACTCCTCCACTACAAAGGCCATGGAACTCAGCTTCTCATGAGAAAATAAAAATAGTGAAATACAATATAATTAGAGCAACTATATTAAGTTTTAATATTTTAAAATATTTTATTGAATGAAGATAAATTCTTTGAAAATTCTGCTCTTGTTCATACACACTTCAACATAATTAATTTCATTCACTTATAAATAATATAACTTCAGAAAGACTTCCTAAAACAACATAATTTGATTTAATGTTACTATAATTTTTTAAGTAAGATAAATGTCAAATTTATACAAATTACTTAGATAGAAACAAACCTTCTTTTTCAATTAGTAGGTTATATCTTAATTTACAATGCAGAATACTATCTTGCTTATCTTCACAGTATTATTGTTTGCTATATACATCACCTTCACAGATTCTAAAATTCCTAAACAAGTACACTACACTGCAATACAGCAGTATCTCAACTGACAAATTACCATTGACAAAGTTGGTAAAATGTTTTTTTGGAATAAAAACAAGTTGCAAAGTATTGGTTTTATATTCGATATCCTCTATTTTTATACTTATTTGCATGTTACAGAATATGAGCAAATAAGCTTTTTGGAACAGAATCCAGCTCAACATTTAGATCTAATTCAATTCAACTGCATTTAATTTTTGGATTAATTTATTATGAATGTCCTGTGCACATGCACTTTGCTTTCCACGTTCTTGTTTTGTGCTATCCTGTATATTTTTTTAATTTAGTAAAATTGAATTCAATCCATTCTCAATTTTTCATGCGAACCATTTTTTTTGCATATAAGCAGTGTGTAACGTTTTCAGCAATTTAAATCTTAAAGGGGAACAGGGATCTATATTACTATCTATGGTTTAAAGACAAATAATGTTTCATAAGAAAACACATAATTATTAAAACTCTCACTGAAAAACAAAGAGATATATTTTGATCTGAAATGGATTTGAAGCACAATTGAAAACAAATGTTCTAGACATATAATATAGTATTTTGGGAAACAGAAAGAAGAAGACTTTCCCTCTCTTTGTTTGCAATGCTACCAAAAATGGTAGTAAGTTATTCATAATTTTAAAAACCTGCTTTTTTAAAAAATGGACAAGATTTATAATCTATCATTTGTTTACAATTTACTATTCATGCCAGTTATGAAGTCCAAAATGATATCCCATTACCTGAATTCTTGGCAGGACATGGGTGGCATGGTTCACCAAAGCCATAGTCTAAATTGGCACAGCAACATTCAGATTTTGTCACTGCTCCAGGAAAAGGGCGAACACATACTCCCTTTTTGATTCCACCATAGCATGTGCTTCGCATATGAGTATCTAAAAATAGATGGGAAAAACAATACATAAATTAATACTCCATAATGATATAAATAAGCATTCTCATTTTAAAAATGAATCCAATTTTTACACCTAAAATTTATGGATTCATATGAAACCCAAGAATTCTATACCAGTCAAATATTAACATCTAGCTGTGTTTTAATGTAATTATTGTTTTTAAGTGGGTATTCTATCTATGTTACAAGTTATTTCTTAAGTAGCATACTAAAGTTTATCAATTAATTTCCTGAAGAAAAACATGCTATTTCAGATATGAATGAATCCATGTTCTATTATCTGTAACATTACTTTGTTTTAATCTAAGAAATATTTGTTGCAACAGGTGGTAATATTGAGCTGAGCTTGACTAACTAAAAAAAAGTTAAACAAGGCTGGACTCAATTTGCACTTAGATGGTAAACTACAAGTAAATCTCAAGGCTAGACTTGAGATTTTAGGTTAGACCTAAAACGTTTTCTTGGAAAGTGGAAAAAAATACTTACCAACACAAACTCGACCATCAACTCCAACAGCTAGTCCAGGTGGACAATCACAACGAAATGATCCTTCTGTATTAATGCAGTGGCCATTCATGCAAATACCTGGAGTTTTACATTCATCAATATCTATTAGAAAAAAGTAAATTGTACATATAATTTAGTACTCCCTGTGTGAACGCCAATAGATCGCATTGCTTAAAAAACCAAGACTCCTGTTAAGTAGATTGTTTGATAAACAATTAATATAGCTTTATCAGTCAATGAATATTTCCTATCATTTTAAAAAAATGTTTGCTATGCTACATTCACAATCATATAACCGAGTGGTCTACAACCTTTCTGGCTTCACAAACTGGTAGTGGCAGGAGATTATGGTTTTGCATGTACAACCTAGATCCATTTAAAAATAAAATATTTTCGGCAGCCAAGAGCAAGTCCATATTATCATAAAGGAATGAGAAGTGAATAGAGCCATTTTTCTCTCTTTGTTTTATTTTATGTTTAACCTTAACCAACATCATAATGAATGTATTTTATTCATTACCCCAAATAAAAAATAGTGCCATTGATTTTCTACTAAATTTTATCAGTGAGATACAAGTGGTGGAATCCCACAAAGTCCACAAAAAGATTGTCTCTTTGAAATATTATTTCTTATGTTATAAATGAGTATTATGTGTAACTAATTCTCCATGATTGTTCAAAAACTATTATTGAAAACAAATTGGCTTAACATTATGTGTAGCTACAGTGATGTATCTGGTTTTAATTCTGCAATTATATTAAAGATTTTAACAACAAAATAATATATCATCCATATGCATGATATAAATAATAATAAAGATTTCCATAACACTTTCAAATGCAAAAAACACACCACAATTAAGAGTCAGGTGGCATAGAAACTTAAATTTAGTATTGTTGTTATATAAGTATAGAACTTTTTATACAAATATTGATCTCATCAAGATAGGTAAAATAGATATATACCAGTACAGTAACGTCCATTAGGAGCCAGGACAAACCCAGGTTTACAGATGCACTTGAAACTGCCATCCTCATTGATACACATTCCATTCAAACACATGTTGGTAGTTGTACATTCATCATGATCTGAAAAATAAAGCATTAGAGATTACAATATGAAATTCTAAATCCCCAAAGATGTTTTTCTTCTATTCAGAAATATGATTCTTATCTAACGCAGGGCAAAAAGGTATACCTTTTTTTAAAAAAACTAATTTTCCTCCTTGTGCCAATCCCATTACCCCCACCTCAAAACTTGACAGAATCCAATATAATTTCTTAATCTATAGAGTGCAGGACAATTTGCAAGCTTTTCTCAGGAAATTTGATTTTCCATTAGTAGTAAATGTGAGCAATTGTAACTAAAACAAAACCACGCCTAAAAAGTAAAATAAAATAAATGCATACCAACACAGTTTTTCCCATCAGTTGTCAGTTCAAAGCCAGCATTGCAAATGCACTGAAAACTACCATCAGTATTTACACAACGACCATTCTTACAAAGGACACCATTCTGAATACACTCATCAATGTCTGAGAAAAACAAATAAAAGTAAACATTTCAATAACCAGTTATTATTTTATTTGCAAGAGTTTTAAGACTACTTTCTTCATCTATAAATCATGGGAACCTAATTATTTTGTGACTCGAGCCAGATGTGGACAGAGGTGAGAGGTGGAGCAGTAAGGAACAAAATTGATTTAGCTAAGCATAAAATGGATATTTAATATAAAAAACACATGCTTTAAACCCCTTAAATTTTTTAAATAAATCTATTCCGTATGTCCTCCACTTTGTCACTATTTTTAAAACTACGAATTTTAAATCCACTGACCAAAAGTTACTGGCAGATTAAGAAACAGCACAAATATCTTTTTCTAATACAAATAAAATTAACTACGAAACTAAGTTTTGACCCCGGCCAAGGATTAAGACAATCAAGACTCTGTTCTCCACATATCATTTGCCTTTTTTGCCTTAAAAATAATGCTTGGTTCATCGTACACCATTAAATTAGGACTCTTTAATTCATACTGATATTGAGGTCCTAACTTGGATTGCTATATTTCCCCCCAAAATCGTTCCCCCTCCCAGTGGAAATAGTAAGTTAGGGGGTATTTTGAACAATTGTTCTTGTCCTGAACAGGAACTTCGGCTGAACCTTGGTGAGTATGAATTTCCCCTCTGGCTATGCAATTTCTGGATTTAGAACAATTTTTGTTCTAGTAATCATATGCTGGGATTGTATACACACCTATGAAAAATTATATTAATTGAAAATTTCCAGAATTAATCATAACTGACCAAAAAAGAAGCTGAATTTACAAACTTACAATGCAAACTTACAATGTATTCATTATTTTTCATTATCTAAATGAAGCACTCAAGCAGCCAAGAGGGTTACAGCTTTTCATGTTCAAAGCCTCAGAATATCCTGGATATATAAATCTGAGCTCTATTAGTCACCAGAATACTCTTTATCACCTGAGTTCAATAGAGTTCAATGTATTCTAGGAATCAATAGGCCTGTGGACTATAATTTTAATGCTATCATTAGGATCAAAATGGGTTAGAAGCTTCTTCAGATTTTTTTTTAGTGCTTTTCTGGCAAACATTAAATTAAAAACTGTATTTGAAAAAAAGGACCATTGAAATCTTGTTAACAGAACCAGTAACTGTTTTATTAGAACTGTATGCATGGAATGTTGCTTTATTTTTTTCATGATTCATTCTCAAATGAGATACATATGTGTAAGATCACCTGAGTTAAAGATGATACAATTTGTCAAATTTTGCTTCACTATACCATAAATTTAATTAAATACCTGCAAACATTAACTCATTGTCATGGTTTATTGAACAGACAAAATAATCTTGTTTTCAGAGTTGAATGAGTATCAGACTCAAATCAAATATAAGCATAGATTGAATTGAGATTGCAAATAACATTTCCATACCAATGCAAGCCTGCTTAGTAGGTGTTCTTTGGAAACCTATATGACATTTACAATAATAAGAGCCAGGTGTGTTCACACAGTCTCCATTAGAGCATGGATTTGATATACACTCATCAACATCTGTTGGAATCAGAAAAGAATGCTATCAAATTTCATAATTTATACATACTAGGTTTTTTTGAATAAAATACAGCATTTCATAAACAAATACAATTAGCTTACATAAATCACAAGCTAATTCAACTCACCATTTTTAAAATATAAAAAATCACAATTCTCTAACTAAAAGAAACCCAATAGAAAGTATAAATTTGCTTTTTACAAAATAGAAAATAATATTTAATTCCATGTAAATAAAATCTTCAAAAAGGAAATATAGACCTTTTTATACAGCTAATTATTAACATTATTACATTCTCATTTTTTTGTTTTGACTCTAATAATCTTATTATACAGATTTAAATATACTGAATTTTTAAAATATGATTAACAAACAACACAAAACACAGTATCACAGAAGTACAATAACATTAAAGTATTCCCTAGTCATAGGTCCTTGTTCTATAAGGAATCTATTTCTGAAGTAATTGTGAGCTGCACTGTGCTTGCAGACACTTCCTTACATTACTGTCATGTTTACTGTTCTACTTGACTTTTAAAAATTAAGCTGCTTCATTTTTTTTAAAGTAAATGAAGTAACTAGCATTCTGCAGAGCAAACTGCAATTATTAGAGAATCCAGCACTTTTTTTCCCCCAACAGTATTTTTGCCAAGAAGCACTATGGAACAAAAAATAATGGCTCCTTAGATATTCTTTGAAAGTAAAGATTACATGTGACTAGCCCAATGCTTTGTTTGGCAATGTGCCCATTTCTAAATTTCTAAAGTATGCTTAGAAAAAAATAGTATGTATGCTAAGTCCAAAAAGGGGCATACTATATGTATAGTACTTTATTCCCTGAATTTGACAGAAAGAATGTTTTCTTTCTATTCAAATCAATGAATACAGAATAAGATCAAACCTTGTGTCATTTAAGTAAAAAAAAAAACCTACCCAGACAAAATTGTATAAAATCACATTATGTTTTGACATCTTTTTAATTTCCCAACCATACTACTCAAACTACCCTATGATTGTTCAGTGTTTTCTAAACACTTTCCTCCCAAGTACTCTCTTTAATATTTTAACTTAAATGGAATTTATTACAAAATATGTTTTTTGTTTTGTCCACAAAAGCCAGTTATTTCGGAATAATTTCTATGGAGCTTTATAAATGAATTCATAAATATGTAGTTGAAAATTTGGAGCTGATAACTGAAGTATGTATTAGAAGTTGATTCTGAGCATATTCTAATAGTTCAATATAAACTTCCTATATGAATTTGTTCAAGCATTTGACTACCTAGATATTGCAAACGCTTTCCTGACATTTTTCTCTCAAAGGTCTTGAGAAGCAAAGGGCTAGAGAAGATCTTTATATTCTAATTATTTTTACCTAGCAATTATGTTATTCATTTATATACATTTTGTAAAAAAACATCTCCAACAGAAAACATTTCCTTTGATATATATGTCTTTTAAGGGCTTTATGTTGGTTAAATCATTTTATTGTTATCAGTTCATCTAAAACATATCAATATACATTTCAGATAGATCAGAGCTTGCAAAAATGCACTATAATCAGAGACATTGCATTTCTAAATATCTGATTTTTAAAGAAGGATATACTAAGATATATAATAAGAAAAAAGGTGAAACTGGAAATTGCACTCACCAGTACAGTCTCCGTTGGCATCCTGCTTATATCCCATATTGCATTCACACCGGTAACTGGAAATTGTTGGAATGCAACGCCCATTTAAGCATAAATTTGGATGATGTCTACAGATATCTATTGTCTGATTGAGTATTGCTATAAAAAGACGTGAGATAAGAAGTTTGGATTATTATCTCTAAAGTTCTTTTTTAAAAAAAACACTTTTTAAATATTAAATAAAAATCTATATTGCATTATTAGGTGAACTTAAGGTTCTCTGAAGTCAACTCTATTGACTTCAGTGGAATCTATCTTAGAATGGAATGGAGGAAAATGCTGGAAACATTTCAAATTTAACATGACCAGAAAACAAGGGTTTCAAACAGCTCAGCCAAGGTAAGGGCTTATTACTTATTTCAGAAGTTCTTTTTGATGGAAATAGGATTTCCTTGTGAAAGAAAGTGATATTCTCACAATAGAGAATTCCATTTTAAAGGAGGCTTCATGTTAAGGAGGTTCCTTTTTCCTTAAAAATTGAGATTCCCAAAAGATTTCAAGAACAACACATACTTGCAGAATTAAGAGGAGGCTATCACAAAGCTGCCTCTGTAAGAAAGCTCAGTTTCACATCTGCTGGGCGCCTTCTCAGAAGTTGCAAAAAAAGAAAGATCAGTTGAGTGCTGCGGGTCCTGGAACTAGCTGAAGAACAGGCCAAGTCCTGCAAAGCCCTAGGTGGCTGAGTGGTTGATTAGGAAACAAGCCCTAGGCCTGCAAGCTTCAACACCCTAACATACATTGGTACCCTCTGCAACTTGAGGCTTTCTGAGTAGCTAGCTTGGGAGCGGGGAAAAGGCCTGCAGAAATCCAATTGGCCGGAATGGGTGAGGGAGATAGATGGAGACAGCTCTGCAACATACCTGCAGGCAGTCAAAAGGGCGAATGACAACGGGGCACTGCGGTGGGCATAAGTTTGAAACCAGATTGTAAGTAGATTGGGGGTAGCTATCCCAACTTTGGTCACTAAGTGATTGGTTGCACATATGTAATTTTCTTATTGGTTTTTGCTTGGTTACTTAATTTAAGTAACCCCCTTAATTTTAGCAGAATTGCAGATTTCTCTCACATAACATTGAGATTCATCATTTTTCACTCCTTACATATACTTGGTTGTACCGCAGTAAAGAAATCTAGAGTTTGGGAGATCAAAATCAGGTTCCAGTGGCATCCACCAATGGGGACTGATGAAAGCAGCATCACAACATTGCAATGCAAGAGTTTTCCCAGATGCCCCAAAGAGGTACATCTTTCATTGCGATACTTCTTTCATTAATCTAAAGCATCATCATTAATCTAGAGCAGCTAGAGAGTGTGGATGTCACTGCCAGGTTGTATTCTTTATCAGGAAAAAATGGAAAGAGAGCCCATAATGCATGAGAACATGGAAAGGCCAAATGTAGATCAATTAATGTTTTTATCAAACATTACTTAGAATATATAATAAATTTGAAATTTTATGTGATTGAATTAGTCATTGGTTGTGGGTATAGGCTAAAAATGTAAGAAGTTTTTTTTAAAAAAAAATGAGGACTCATAATTCTGCACATACTGAATGTCTCATAAATTAATTGGAGTATGCTGGGAATATAAAGAAACTGGAGAAGCAGTGGAAGAACTAAAAAAATCAAGTTCATATTGTTAGCAATATTTCATTGATAAAACAGACATTTAAAAACCCTATTAGTTTTAACCATGAAGTAGAAAAAGAGGTTTACAAATATTTACTGCAAGAGCCTTCAGTTTTATAATTATAAAATCAAGCAACTTACTCAGTCCCGTAATGATGGGGCCATTTCCTGTGGGACCTTGGCCACCGGTCCCTATTCCAGTTCCATGTACACCTGGGGAAAACCCATTTCCACCAGGAATAGGGATGAATCCTGTTCCTCCTGGGCCAAAGCCATTTCCTCCTGTGCCACCAGGCCTGGAACCGCCTATAACAGAAATGCCATCTATGCAAAGCCCACGATATTCATCTATAAAAAAATAAAAATAACATTTATCATCATATTTTTCCAAAAGATGCAAGTACATATGAGCACATATCTTTCAAAAGATATTAACAGACATCAATGCACTGATTTGAAAAATGGCATTTCAATGTAAATTTTATTATTCATCATATACAAAAACAAGTAACTATTGAGTAGATCTAGTATAAAATTACTATACATTTTATTAATTCACAATTTAGTTCTCTAATTCATTATATGATAAATATTGGTGATAACTGTGAACATTTAGATAAAATTTAAGTCACCTCCAATATAATCACGCTCTTAATAAAACATTTCTCAGGAAATGATGTAGGCTTTTAATAAGGAAAATATCATTCAAAGTAAATGGAATAATCAAAATAAACAATCAAAGCAAGTACAAATCTGCATAATAGATAAAGATAATAGAGGCAACATTAAAATGAAGAATAACTCAGAATTATTTTCCACTTCAATATTCTCTATCAGCCACAACAAATGTTGTTGTCCTACTCAGCCAAGTCAATAAGTTACTAACTGAAGATGTTGTATTTCAATTATTTTAAAGGAAAAAAGGACTTCTATATAGAACGGGGTGTCAAACTCATGTCATCACAGCGTCATCACGTGATATATTTGGACTTCCCCCCCCTTTGTTAAACCAGGCGCAGGTGTGGCCAATGCGTGATCCATCTGGCCCGTGGGCTGGGATTTTGACAGCCCTGATATAGAACAACTCTAACATATACAGTGCAATATAGGAAATTATCATTTTTCTATGCAGACAAGCAGCTCATATAAATAAATTTTCTTGCTGCTTTTTTATTTCAGAAATATTCTGTTGGTTGAAGCTTTCTGTATGTAACTTCACCCTTCGAAGATCCAACAGAATGAAGATATAAAACATAGTTATCAGTTTAATTTAACAATGTAATTAAATGAAAGTTGCTTCATTAAATCCAAAAAAATAATAATTCCTTCAAATAAATTTTGTTTTGAAGAATTATTTCAAATAACAAGAGGAAAAAACTGGCTCAATCAATAACAAATCAGAAGCAGTAAGGTTTAATTTGATAAATACTTTAAAGTAAGCCTTTTCATTGTTTCAGGATTGATATTAAAATGAATTTTTCTAGTAATTTTAACATGCTAAGATATTTACCAGAGCCTCTAACAGGACACATTTCTGGAATGGAACCAAGAGCCCAACACTGCCCAGATTCACAGCAGCACTGCATCTTGGTAAACCTGCCTGGAAGCTCTTGTGCACAGCGACCATTCAGCAGACTGGAGAAACAAGTACCTGCTCTTTGATCTGGATATTAATTTCAAAAAATTATTAATGGAGCACTTAGTAAAAACATTTTCTTACCTATTATAAATATAATCAGTGAAACATGCAACACTACCATCTGCAATTTGTGACTGCCATTGTGGTGAATTATAGCTAAGAACATTTGGGAAGGCACAGACAAAAAAAGGCAAAAGTATGCAAATAAATTTATATCTATACCACAAATCAGTCAAATGAATCCGTACTAGGCACTACTTCACTTTTCCTTTTTCACTGCAACTCACAATGGGAAGAAGAAATGATTTATTTATTTAGTTATAGCACTTATATAGCCACCCATTTCTAATGAAGTGACCCTAAGTGATATAAAAAAGTCATCTATAAATACAAATCCTCCCCTTTTTCTCCTCAAAAACCCCAACACAGTACTTTAAAAACTAACTGGAACCATAAAATGTATTTATTTATTTTTCAAATTTATACAGCTATCCATCTCCCAAAACAAGCAACTTTGGGCAGTGTTCAATAAAGTTTTAAAAAAACCAATTGTTCACAAATAATAATAATAATTATTATTAAAACATTAAAAACTAATGATGACTAATTGAAATGATGACTAGACTAAAATATGCTACAACTATTGGGATGTCAACCATCTGGATTCAAAGACATGGGGAAATTACTGTAAGCTGTCAAAAGAACCCAGTGTTAGCTGGGGAATTATGGAAGTTGAAGTCAGGGAAGTTAAAATTGTCAAGGTGAGAAATAATAAAATAGCAATTTACAAATTAGCCACATTTTATAAATTACTGATTTGTGGAAAGTGTCATAGGTTTAAATTGGCAAGTCTTGTAGGGAAAATGAGTCTGGTCAACATGTGTATGCCTGGAATAAAAAAAGTCATCACTTTTTACCCCCTCACCTTTAATTAATTGATTCTTCACCCAATACATTTATCCTCTTCTGCCTTATTTAGATCACAATGTAATTTGAATTTTCTAAATGAAAATCAATGATGGATGAGGCAGGTGCTATAGACTTATTTTCAACCAAGAAAACTATTTAAAGAATAACATATTCAGATCAATCTTTAAAGAGACATATGAATTTATCTCCATAATGATTTTAACATTAATTACATTTAATTATCTTTTTGTAATTTGCACGGTAATCTACTTTTATTTTTTACATCTTTTATTGAATTAGATTATCAGGTTTATCAAATGGATGTTTTCAGGAATCTTGTGGCTAGAAATTAACTTGGGGTTGTGAATTTGCTTGCATTTGTATCTAGGAGATCGCTTGGATGAATTAGCAGGCATCTATAACAGAAGGTCTGTGGCACCCTTCTATAAGGTTTCTGTACATAGAAATTTCCTTGGGATAAATCATTTAATTGTTGTTCTAGGCTCCCATGATGAATATGCGGCCAGAAAGTATATCTTTATTGTTCAGCAGAAATGACAACCATATACAGTAAGATAGAGTTCAGTTTCCAAGAAATAGTACGATAGAATAGTGCCCAGAATTTACTTTCAGGGTTTCTGTGCCCTCTTGAAGAACTACGCCCCCTCTTTCAGAAGAAAAGCTTTGGATTTCTTCTCTTAGTCTCCACGCTGTCTATTTATGATGGATACTTGTTTACATTCATGGAATTTTCCTTTTAGTGCAGAAAATATCAGCAAGTGATACTGAAGTTTTTGAGCTATTAAGCTATTGAGCTTGATACCTAGCATATCCGCTGCTGAGTTGGTTTTCTGATACAGGATAAAGAGTACAAAATTATATCTTACAAAAAAGTGTAGAAACAAGGTAAAAGTGCGTAAGACCATAATGTTTTCTCTTCCCAAAATAACTGAGAACATAATACTGCATACCATCTGATATAATGTTCTCTGAACAAGATCTTCAGAATCAAGTAATTTCAACTGCAGAATAGGGCCAAGATTAGAAAGTTACTCCAGAGACTAGTTACAAATAAAATGAACATAAAGAAGAAAAATCCACAGAAAAGGGTATGGTAACTTACCAATGCAACGAGAGCCATCTGTGGATGTCACAAAGCCACGTGGACAAAGACAAATATAACTTCCAACAGTATTGGAACATTCACCAGCATCACAGATTCCTGGGATGAGGCTGCATTCATTAATATCTACAGATTTAAACAAAAGAATGATTCTCCACAAAATAAAATTATTCTAAAGATATTTTAACATTATTAAATATGATATCCGTGATTCCACTGTCTTGGACTCTATATGCAAGCTGGAATTCTGATTATTTGATATGTATGTCTATAAATATTAAACTCTCCTGCACTTTTATATCTGATTTCCAGAACTAATATTAGCAGGCATATTTAAAAAGATAGCAAGTAATGGGCCATACTCAATAGAGTATAAGAAATCCTATGTAATTTGTGATCAGCAACTGTTACAAAATGTAATTATACTATAGAAAATGTATATAGAAAAAAGCTAAACTGCATGTGGGGGGAGATAAGACATCTCTTTAACATAAAATGTATATTAAATCTCATCAACAAAAATGCATCTCTTCTATGCAAAAATCCTTCACTGATACAAAATATCTATTTGTAACAGAAGATAGGCTTGGGGCGGGAAGTCTGTCTTTTGTTACAACTACAACCAAAAACACAATGTTTTGTTTCTTTTTAAAAAAAATATTAAAAAATAAAACATTTAAAAACAGTGAACATGGTGTAATCATCCTGATATATCTATCTGTCATACATAACTATTTTGGGTGACAAATACATATTTACATAGTATATACATGTATATATTCCAACAATTCTCTATCTTCCTAATCTATTATCTTAACATCTTTATCTCATTTTAGTTTTGATTTTAAGTCTTCCTTTTTCCCAACCAATGGTAAAATTTATCCCATACTTTATAATATTCAATCTTGTCTTTATTTTTTAATTCCAATGTTAGTTTATTCATTTCTGCACATGTCCATATCTTTTTAATTATCTCCACTTTGTCTGGAATTTCCTTAAGTTTCCAGTTTTGAGCATCGCTTATCTTGCAGCTGTAATCACATGTGTTATTAGATACATCATTATTGTACCTCTCTATGTTAATTCCCAATAAAAAGAGTTCTGGTTTATATTCAAGTTTGATTTCACCCATTTCCTCTAACCAACTCTGAATTTTGTGCCAAAAATCCTGGGCTTTCCTACAAGTCAACTATATATGATGATATGATCCATTTTCCTAGGAGCATTTCCAACAAATAGGAGATAAATTTGGATACATTTTAGCTAATTTTATTGGAGGGATGTTCTACCTATAAAACATTTTGTATAAATTTTCTTTATACGATCTGACCAATGTTATTTTTTTATTTCTTTCCCATAGAATTTGCCATTTGTCCAAATTAATATGTGCAATATCCTTCACCCACGCCAACATCGTTTCTTTTACTTGATCCTCCTCTAATTTATATTCCAATAGAACTCTATAAATTTTCCTTATCAATTTATCATCTGCTCTTAGTAGTATTTCATCTAATTTTGTTTTCCGTCTGCTAATTCCCTGATCTTTCATGTCTTTTCTATATCGTGATTGGACTCGTAGGTAAGCCCACCATTCCCAATCCACTCCTTGCTCTTTCAATTCTTGCCTTGATTTCAATTCTCCTGTCTCATTTAGAATATCTTCATATGTAATAATTTTTCCTCGGCGAAGCAAATTTGGATGCATTAAGGCTTCCAGTATGGATAACCATATTGGTGCTTCTATATATATTTGTTGTTTTATTTATTCCATATCAATAGTAATGCCTGCCTGATCTTATGTCTTTGAACACAGTGTTTCGTTTCATTAGCCAGGTGTAAAAACAATGTGACTGCAATTTTCAAAAGACAAGGAGTCAATTCAGGCAAGAGGGTCAAAACACTATAGCTTTCTTCAAAATAATGCCTTCAATTTATTTATATTTTTGGTCCTCTATATTTTAAAATATTTTTAGGCTACAGAAATCCCACATATACATATCAAAAAGACTTATAGAAAAAAGACAAAACAATGTATTCTGGGCCTCTGCGTTCCGTTTTTGGCCTCCACGCACCCTGTTTTTGGCCTGTTCCGATCCCCGCTGCCTGGAACTAGCCAAAAATGGGGGGCACGGAGTCTGAAAACAGGGCACATGAAGGTTGAAAACAGAATGTGGAGGCTGAAAATGGAGGCAACAATAGGCGATGGCGATCCCTGGAGACTGAAACAGCTGATCAGCGGAAGGCTGATCTAACCGACAATCAGCTGCTTGTGCTAATTATGCTGTGCTGAAGCTGACAAGATTGTTTGCTGTTTGCTACAAGGAAGCAAAATGCTGGGAGGCAGAGACAGATTTTTTGTCTTGTTTTCCTCCCCAAAAGCTAGGTGTGTCTTATAATTTGAAGCATCTTATAGTCCAAAAAATACATAATTTAAACAATGTAGTGTATGGTTGTAGTGTAATACGTGCATGGCTGCTTCTGTACCTAGATGATGGAAGGAAACATTAAGCAGTTGTAGGATTTGGAAACAAAGCTGAGGAAAAAAATATTTAAGTTTCTGTAGTACAAACTGCTTCTATTTCCTTCTTCAAGAAGTACGTACAATTACTATTGAATCAAAGAAGTGATTCCATTAGAGTAAAAGTATAGAGTCTTGTCCTCTATCCCAACTTTACTCTTAAGATAATATTTCTATTATTTTGTTCTTTTAAAAATGAGAAAAATCATATATAGTTAGTCAGTAACTTAACATGTAAGGTAGAGTTCAGGAGGGATATTTATTTATTTAACAGTATTTTTGAACAATCACATAGTACTAAATGCACTTAAGAACTTTAAACTTTAATTAGAAAAACAAAAAGAAATAGAAATTGTAATCTGTAATAAAAATAAAATAAATAAAATAACAAACATCTACATATCAAAATTAGTAAGGAAAATTTCTAAAAAATAGTGTTCATACATTTAACATTGTTTAATAAAAGATTAAACTCATTATAAAATGAATTATGAATTATGCAGAAAAGAATCTTGTCCCATATTCCCATAAATCTAGTCTTCTTGATGGCAGAATGCATAGAAGAATGAGCAATAGAGATCTTATTAAAGGCAGATTCATACGGAAGTTTGTTTCTACAGTTAATAATGCATGAAAATAAAAGTTGAATTATAAATATGTAGAAGTCATGTTTAAAAAAACTTCTGACAAACATGTCTTAGTAGATGCAGTTTTTTAAATTTCACACTTCGCTCTTTCAAAGGTTGCAGTATTCACTTAAAACGTGTGATGTGGAAGTAATGAATCCATTAGCTACACTAGAATGGCCCCTAGTATGATTTTTTTATCATCTATACAATACCTCCAAAGTAAATGTATATGGAACTATTTATTAAAGATTAACAAGGATTCAGAAACTTTTTAACTGAGGAAAATATAGTGGAGTCATTGTTCTAAGACCTAACAAGACCAGGGATGTAAGAACTGATGTTTAAAGATCAGGCATCGAAAACAGGAGTAGACACATCTATAAAACTGACTGCCATTTCCCAGCTATGGAATAAGTTAATAAAAAGCCAGTCTGCCAGGAAAAAATAGTTTTCCTCTTTGTAAAGTAAGGGGGAAATAAAGGAATATAAGTAAGAATGCATCTATTTGCTCAAATACTATCACTGAAAAAATATCTAAGTAATAAGTATCTAGTAAATAGTTCCAGAAATATACCAGAACAATTTTGTAGACACATACAAATGAATAAATGTTCTTTTTTATTATTAGTAGAATTGGTATTATTAATAAAGCACTTTAAACTATATGTTCTCGTGTTTGGAAGCTTCTAAAAATTCTACTCTTATAGTTCTATGCATTAATAAAACCAGAAAAAGAGCCACCCAACATTCTGAACTTGGTTGTCCCTAAAACTGTGTACTAACAATTCATAAGGAAAGTCCAAAAGTTTGGAAACCATTACTGGTAAAGGTCTATGGAAATTCTCAGTCACTCAGGTCTTCGTTGTCACCAGGATTACTGGTGAAGATTAGATTGAACTAAAAAACATCATTATAATCAATATTTTTAGATTAACTGAAATTAATGGATACTTTGTGGTAGAGTGCTGTTCCTCATTGATCAACAATTATTGAACTCCTTAATCTGGGAAGAGGAGTATTTCTCTTTAATAATTTTGGGCATTAACAATAAGAAATGAAATGCTGTGTTCCAGAATAATATCTCCCACACTTTTCATCTCAAATCAAATCACAATAACTCAAAAAGTCTCAGTGAATGAATAGGTGGCTATAGGGGAGAGGAGGGAACAAGTTCCCAGGTCAAACAGCTCCACGTGCCTTCTCCGACCTGTGTCACACCCCACACACATTCCCTGACCCATGTAGTAGTTTTGCATCACCCCACATACCCTCCCTGACTAGCACTACCTCACAAACACTTGCCCCAAGCCAAGAGACAAATGAGGTGGCAAGCAGCTCCAAAACGTCATGGTTCTTGTTATACCATGGGAAGTTTGAGCAAACACCATCAAGCATCCATTATCCAGCTGTTTTATCTCCCAAACTCAGCCTGCACTAGCAAGCAAATCAAGTACCAGCAAACATTCATTCACCCAGCTGTTTTCTCTCCTATCTCCCCACACCAACCTTTTTCACCCAGGGCTTTCCTGCCTTTTCTGTGTCCTATTCAGACCTAGTTTCTCCAGCAAATGCTTAAAGCTGCATCGTCTTCAAATTCCCCACCCCATTTCCAAAGTGGCTAAAATTACTGTGCAGTCTTTGAAAACTTTCCAAAGACAGTGCAGCTTATAAACATTCCAGTTTGACATGGTCAAGACAGTTAAATCTATATAATTTTCTTTCAGTTCTATAAAACTGTTATTATTTATATAAATAATAACAGTTTTATAGAACTGAAAGAAAATTATATAGATTTAAGTTGAAACTATGAAGCAAATTCTGAATGCTTTTTGCATATGATGATTTTGTAGCTATTTTTAAAGCTAACAAAACTTTTCATTATTATTAGAAGTAGGATATACTAAAATCAATTGAAGTTGTATCTGAATAATACTGGAAAGATAAATTAGCCCTCAGATCACATAATACATTGAAGATTTGACCTCACTTGAAATTTATAAATAAAATGCTTATAGAGGCAATGTATGAACAGTTATATAGTCACTGCTTAACTGAAATGTTGTGTAAAACTCTGTTTAAATATATAACACATGTCAAGTCTTTCATCTGTATTTATGTACATGTACGTATGTGTGTATGTTCAAATACATATGCACATACACATACACACATAAACACATGTGTGTATTCTATTTAATTAAAGACAATAAGAAATTGTCTTTAATTAAAAGTACATGGAATGTAAGATAAGGGACTATTAACAAACCTTTAAGGCTCTATAGTTTTCCTTCAATACTACTACATAAGTAGTAACTAAATAAAAAGCTTTCAGTAATAAAAATGAAAATATACAATTGCATACAATTACAGAAATACGATAGACTTTGTCCTTGTAGGAACTAACTTAGAGTAAAAGTGTTTTTTAAAGGAATTTTAGTTAACAAACTTTAATAATAATACTTATTCAGATTATTGATAGGAAAAATTTTTTTAAGCATGCTAAAACTTAACTGCAGGCCTCCCACTTAAGAAATATGGATCATTAATGTCAAAGTCATATGTTAAATCTGGCATGTTGCCTAGGAATAGCCTATAACACTTTTGCCCCTTTGCAATATTTGAATTGGCTTTATGCTCGTATCAGGAAAGGAAGGGAGTAGACAGGATATTTGCCAGTGAGATCATTTATGTTAAGGAAAAAATAAATATTCATCTATTGACTTCTTCTCTCCCTCTCTGAAAATAGGAAATCCATGTAAAAAATATTTTTTTTAACCTTAGTCTCAATTATGTCAATGTTATATTTTCAAATTTGTATTTTTAAGCAAATTACATTTTTGTTTGAAAAGTGTAATATGCATTATTAAAAAGACTTTAAAAGTTGTTTATTGTTTTTATTTACTATTAGGAATCCCACAATTGCTATTTGGGGTCATTCCAAATAACATGAAAATTGCAGGATTTCCAGTGTCTGTGCTTTCAAAAGGAAGTATATACCAACTACTGTATATTTTAAGTCATTATACTTACCTTCACACTTTTGAGTTGCTTCATTCTGTTTATGACCAGCAGGGCATTTGCATTCATATGATCCAACTGTATTGATGCAAGTTCCCCCCTGACAGATTCCAGGAATAGCCTGACATTCATCTATATCTGTAAATTAAGTAAGATAAACTCTAAAAAATTATCTTCCATTGTTCTTCAAAATAAGTCTTATTTGACTGCAAGACTTTCTAGATAGAGGATTTTTCTCTTGGTAACAATTAGAATACAAAACTCATACATAAATTTATTCAAAGTTCAATGGAAAAATTCTCCCTTTTTATGATCCTGTAATCTCTAAATTGGGGTTCAGGCAACTGGATGGAGCTAAACATTTACTGGCCAGATGACCTTCCTGACACCATGCAGTTTGCAGCAGATATTTTTTCTTTGTGCCCTAGGAGAGAAACATCTGCTGCTACCTAGGGTTGATCGCTCAATCTTCCGAGTAGGAGGCAAGAATCTTCATCACTAGGCCACCATGCCACCCAAGTTCTAAGATTACTCTAAATCTTAGAAAAAATGCTATTGCGAGGGTTTTTTTTGTTTTACAACATGCTATTTGTTTTAAATTTCTGTGCACGTATATCCTAAAATGTACATTTAAATGGTTGCAATTCACTTTCCCTCAGTTACTATACTTTAATGTTAAAGTAAACAAACTTATATAAAATAATAATATAGAAATATTTTCAGAGATCCAACAATCTAAAAGAATGTACACTGTGAATAAAAAAAGTTGAATATCAAGCTTTAGTTTTTAGAATAATTACAGGAAATGTTCATGTTTCACTGATTTTATTTAAAATACTTTAGCCTTCATTATGTATCATTTAGATTAAAAATGAGATAAAGCCATGTCCATATCCTGTTTTTTCAAGGCTTACCATTTTAATACATTTCCATTTTGGTGCACAATCTAGGCTGTTTAATATGCTTCAGAATAGATTAATAAAATTAATGTACTTTCTAAGAAGATAATTTTACACATTGAAGTGGTCTACAACAGAATTATCTGAAAAAGCTCACTAGCTCTTCAATTAGTGAGTTAGTAGTTACAACAGTAATGACTTGATAAACATTGTCTTTACCACAGAATATCTGGAAATATTGCTACCAAGGTTTTTAGAATTGTGAGTAATTGGTAATGTAATAATTAACAATCATTGAGCACCTATGAACAAACCCCATTTTATTCTATTATGCCTGAAAAATGAATAGTTTCATTTCTTGTGCATCTTGTCAAAGTTGATATAATGGTGCAGTGTGCTAGGATCAATGCCATTTGGACCATTATTTACTTGAATTCCTTTCAGTTGTTCTTTGTATCAACAAACTAGAAACAAGATTAAATCACAAGCAAATTTCTATGATTCCAAACATGCAAACATGCTTGTTTATCAATCAAAAACTAACAATTTCCATTTCTTAAATTATGTTCTTTTGGACTCATGCTTCAATGGATACTTAATATATTTAGTTACTGAGTATAAGTACATTCTTTATCTGCTTCTGTTATTGTTCAATTTAGCCAAGTGTGTCAGGAAAGCACTAGCTAGTACTAACAATTTACAGATGTTTTTGAGCAGCAAATTAATGTGCAAACAGCAATATATGAATTCTCTAGTGACAATTACTTTACAAAGAAGTCTCTGTCTGACTCCCTCACAAGAAGCCGTTTCACCGTTTAATGAAATGAAATAATTAAGTCATTAAAATGAATTCTTGTATGTATAGCCTCGAAACAGAGATGAGCATCGCCCCGTATAGTTAGCAACGATTAGCTGAGTAAAATCTGCAAGGATCCCTTATATTCACAGGAAACAAAAATATGCTGTGAGATAAACATATTTTTGCATTGAAGAAATGTTAATGATTTTCAGTCTATGACCAAATTATAAAAATAAAAAATGTTTTCTAAATAAGGAAAGGCAAGTGAGCTGCATTATGTTAAGACTGATCTACTGAAAAGAAATCAAGATTTTTTTTAAAAAATAGTTTTCCTATATTATGACCTGAAGTTAGAAAATACCTTACTAGACATGGAGATAAACTAGGGCTGAAGTATATCTGCATATATCAGATAGACTTATAGAATGATATATTCACAATAGCTGTGACAGAAAAGCATTACTAGAAAATATAAATGGATAAATATAAATGGAATTCCCCTCGTATAGTTATCTATTTCTATAGTTCCTTTTATTAAATCTATTCTGATGTTTTCTCCACTAGCTGAACTCCTTGGCAACACCACTGTAACAATTTATATCTAATATAAGACAGATATCAAATTATTGTCCTATGACAATTAGCCTACCTTTGAAGGCTAATGATTGTTCAGTGCCAAATACAAATAAATTGTGGATTTTTTTGGTTTCTTTAATTCAATTTTATTTTTATTCTTACTTTATTCTTCCTCACTATCTACAGGCTCAGGTTATCTGGGACTGGATCTCAGATTAATTATAATCTGAGTACCAACCTGTATATCAATGTTATGATCAACTGCAAAGTATGGCATTCTGTTTCATCAGCTAATGTAATTTCTAAATTAAGTTTTTCCTAAAGTACTCTGGTAGAGAGTATCAGATTACGTTAGAGAAACCAGATTACATTAGAGAAACTTTAGGAGTCTGACAAATAAAAGATTAGAATATTCAGAGGTGGTATTCACCCAGTTCGAACCAGTTCTGGAGTATCGGTAGAAGTTTTGAGTAGTTCAGAGATGGGCAAATATCACCTCAGGCTGGCCCCGCCCACCCACTGCTTGCCCTATCTGCCAGCTAGCCTCACCCTCCTACTCACCCCGCCCCACCCAATCACTTGTCATCTTGCCACTCTGGCATAGCACACTGTGTGCCTCCTAGCTTGCATTGACCACACAGTCTCTGCGGCTTGCCTGCCTTCCCACACAGTGCCTGCGACCCTGATCTGCCAGCCTGGGTAAGTAAGCCTGCGAGTCTCAACCTAGTTAGCTGCCCCCCACACCGTCCCTGCCTGCCTTCCCTACTCCCTTCCATGTGGCTGGTAGACCTGCCATGCTTACAGAATTGGTAGTAAAAAAATTTGAATCCCACTGAGAATATTGATTAATAGTATACTTCTTAGTTAAATGCAAAATAATTTGTGTAATTGAAAAGAAATGGCATTATTCAGTATTTCAGCAACATGGGCTATTACAGTTTTTAAGAAATGAAATTTAAGAATGTACATCAGGATATATACAAAAGAAAAAAAGAAAAGAAAACCAAGTCAATAACAGAGAATACAATCCCTGAAAACTATTAGAAAAAGGAAACAATTCACATTTTAATTAAAGATTCAGATTGCATGGAATTATTCTAAATGTGATACCCTGTTATGAAGGAAAATAAAGCTTCCAGCTGTAACCGAAAGATCTAATCAAACTATCCAAAGAAACTCAGAAAAATCTTCTAGCTGGAAATACAGTACAGACAATATAAAAATATAGCTACTGAAGATTTTATGGTTCTGTTTGTAAGGACAGTTCCCTATAAACAAGCTAGCATAGCGGTCCCCAAATTTTCTGGCTCCATGGACTGGTACCAGAGGTGGGCAAAGGTTTTGTATGTGCAACCTAACCCCACACATACACAAATGAAGCTTTGCACTCTTACCTACCACTTGCATGGCCCATTCCCAACATAAACATTTAATTAAACATAATGTATTAAATAATATATTAAATATATTAAAAGATGTATTAAAACATGGAAGTTTTCTCTCAAATATATATTTACTGCAAACAAAATTGCAAAACTAAAGACACTTAGTTTCTTATGTGTATATTTTCCAAAACACTTTTACTTGTTTATGTATGTTTAAGTTTGTTGGGTTTCACTGCCTGAAGCATTTGAGACGTATAACTACATTACACAAATAAGGGGTTATTTTGTTGCTCTCTTCTTCTGTACCTCCACTGACAACTTGGAACTGCTGAAATCAGAAAAATATTCTTAAGAGAACATGAATTAATGCACAGTAATGTTCTATTTCAAACTTATTAAAAATAACACTTTTCTAAGTTCAAAATAGTTGCTCCAGTTTCCAAATTTTAGAAATTCAAAATAGAGTTCTAGCATATCCGAAATGATTGAGATAATCTATTTCAAATGCAAAAAGTTGTTTCAAACTCAAAAACATAGGTAAAACCTGAAATGGATAATTTGCATTTGAAACATTTTGAACATCCCTAATAATTAACATCCAAGAAAACTGTACAACTTTTTAATGTAGAAATTAAACCTGTCTCTTAATTGACAAATGGACAATACAGTTCTTTTGGGTTCATGTTTTCTTTGTAGTATGTCATTCTTTCCCAAAGACATTAATTTCATTGTAACATAATGCAATCTAGTAAGTACTTGATACTAATATTTGCTATTTTGAACATACAGTAAACAGTATACAAAAAAGGAATAAATATCATCTGTCTTGAATAATGTATTCTAAGATATTTCATAGCAGGGAAACTTTAAAGGTTAGTAAATTACTTTGCCCACCTTGACATGCTCCAGTGCGGATGTTTGGAATGAAACCACGACGACATGGTTGAGGTTGAGCAGGGCACATTTCACAAGGATGGCCCCATGCACGTCCTATAGTTGCACAACAAAGTGTCTTCGTGCAAACAATGCCAGCCAGCTGACCTTGACACATCTGGTTGTTGACTTGAATAAAACAAGGGCCTGTTCTATAATCTGGAAATTAAAGGGCACAGTTTAATGCACAGGCAGTGTTTCTCCATCCCATCTGTTTAAACACACAGGAATTTTTCAATTTAGTTCTGTTATCCGATGCAATAATCTGTTCCCCATTTATGCTCTTGTCCCAATAAACCACTGATCTCTAAGGTTCAAGGGCATGATTTTTAAAATATTTTTTATAACCACCAAAAATATTAAAACTGAAACTCTAGTCTTAGAGTACCTTGTCTATATTTTCAAATAATGGAAGGATTTAATAAAAATCTCTACTATACAATATCCTATTATGAGACACATACAATATTCTATTAAGAGAGACAAATTTAGTTTGCCAAATTTCAGATATGTTGCTTTTTTTACTATTTCAATTTGCAGAAAACACATGCAAATGTAAACAGATTAAAGATAGTCCAGGTAAAGAAGATATTTGAGAAAATGATCATGTGCAAAAAGTTATCACCTGAGGAAAAATACAGTATAGCCATAATGTTATTCAACTATTTGCAAGACCAGAAATTTAACAAATAAAGGAATATCTTTACTTGCATAATTAAAGGAGAAAATTTGTTTTACAATTGCAATCAGATTATTTTAACATTCTATCCTGTTCTTGATTTTAAAAAAGAGTTAATTCAGTTAATAATTTAACTGAAATACATTCTCCTCCATCATTAGATGGAGTCTCTATATATTCAAATCAACATGGGTATATTTCCCAGGATGATATCTCCCATGATTAGGTTTACAATAAACTGAAGATCACATTATCAGATTGAATTATTCAGTCTCAATTTCCTTTTTATGTGGTTATTCATTTTATAGAATTATACCATTTGAATAATCTTCATTTATTTTTGAATGACTAGCTAAGAGTCAAGACTTGTAAAGTTCTGGTAAACTGAGGGTATGAATGTGATTTCCTAACATTATTCTCTTTAGCTTTTCATTTGAAAAACACTTTTAATATTATATTGAAATATACATTAAAAAAACCTAATAGATATTAAAGTTTTGTAAATGTAAAATTATGGAAAAAGGCATACATTTTTACAAACGGCCAGTCTTGAATGCACCATAAAATAATACCAAGATTGAACATGTAACCTAAAGCCTTCTCCAGGCAATATGGATTAGAACTTTATGGACTGAATGAGGCAAGTCAATCACATGAAACACCCATAGGCTTTCTTTTCTTCTTCAGGTATTCAGTCCTAATACATGATTAAGGACAGCAGTACAAATTATAGCTGGGAACTAGTTAAGACTCTATTTCAAGTATATTAACAATTACTAACTTTTTAACTAGGTATTGCTTTATTTAATGCAGCAGCTCCTGGTAGCACTCTTCAGTTTGTCACAAAACTTAGTCTGCTGGTTATCCCTGGAATCTTTGAATTTAAGGAATATACAGTACATTTTGTCCATATGTAAAATTGATTAGGGGAAAGGAAGGGTTCTGACTGGAATTGTTTGTGTCCATTTGTCAAAATAAACAAACTATAAAGGACAAAAAGCTAGAAGAGCTGAAAAAAGGCTCCTCACAATACTGATAAATTCCAAGAGTCAATATATGCCAAATAAATAAATTAAATAAAAGCACCATTGGTCAAATGTGACACTATTTCCCTGAAAGGATGGAAATCTACGATTTGAAAGTTGTGGCCTGTCATGAAAAGGCTTTACAATACTATTTGTGACAAGGATCTCAGAACTGTAAATTACAAATATATTATGAATCAGCAAGATGTGTGTGTGTGCACACGTGCGCGCGTGCGCACATTTGTGTGTATATTTCAAAATAAAAGGACATTTCACTCTACTCAACTTGTGCTGTTTTATCATAACAAGTCGGATGTCATCGGATGTCTTTACAGAAGGTAAATAAGGGTGATTGTAGGATTATAAATAATAATTCTGAATATAGATATAGAACTTGAGGAACAAAATTGTTTTAAGTTGCAAGCATTACTTTCTAGAAATTCTAACTTTTATCATTGTCATATAAGGTTAGTTATCTTACTCATTAAACCATGTTCATATACAATTCTTAAATATTTATTATGAAATACAGTTTCCTTCATTTTTTAAAAATATATCTTATTTTGATAAAATATATGTTATGAACAGAAAAGTCAATAAAGGGTACTGAATATCTATAGCATTTTAAATTCAGAAATTCCAATTATTTACTTAAAAATTATACACACATATAGATGATACATGCTCACACTCATTAGGATTTCAAGCATTGGAAAAACAAAATGTTAAAAGAAATATTTCACAACCTTTAATGATTGCTATTGGTGTTTATCGTGGCTTCTTTATAGTAAGATACATAACTGGAACTATAACTTGAATTATATTGAGTCACAAGCAGCCAATATAAGTAAATGAAAGAAAAGGCTTATTGAAAATAAGCCAAGAAACAACTAAGGAAAAAGCTTTTGAGGGTGACATCCCACTTGTGGAATGTCTTCCCTAAAGAAATGTATCTGGCATCTCTATTACAATCTTTCTGGCACCCATTTAAAACCTTCACTTTCCCAAGCAAATTAAAATGAAAAAAATTCCATTACCTTTTGTATTTTCTCATGATTTAAATGAAATTTATATCTTACAGTAAATTTATATTTATAAGATACCTTTTGTTTAAAAAGAATGTTTCCATTTTGTTCTAGGTTTTATTCTGAAGAAACAGAATGTATGTCTTTTACACCAAGAATAGAGCTAACCACAGCCAACAGTTCAATAATGAATATAAATATTTATGAAGAAAAATGTACCTAGGAAAGTCCCCCAAAACTACTTTCTTGTAACATGTCAATTAAATATATTGTAATTTCAATGATTAGATACTTTTCACCCTTCTGCCTTCATCTGGAAACCAAGATAGCTGAATAAGCAGTCATGCATTATCTGTTGTGATTCGCCGGCACCTGGTGCAGACGGCAGCGAAGTCAGACAGTGAGGTAGAAAGGGGAACAGTCAGAGAATCTGGAGAGGACTTGGACGAGGTTCCTGCGTCCGATGCAGGGATGGGGGCAGGAGCATCTGGGAGCCTTCAGAGTCTGGCAGCATCGAAGCAGAGGACCCAGGGGAGCCTGTTCCCAGTGCGCGTGTGCGCAGAGCTGCTAGAAGGCGAGAGTAGCTGAAACAGAAAGGGTGACTGGGGAATAAGGCTGGGAGGTGATGGCCCCTCCCGTAAGGGATAAAAGTCAAACCTCAATGATGAAAGATTTGCAGGAAGTAAAGTAGTTCGATAGATTCCAAGTCTTCCTTGAACCTCTGTGTACTCTGGTTGTTTTTTTCTGGTACTTCAGATGGTTTCTGTTATAATTAATTTGGATACTTATGTTTTTGGCAGGATTCCACAGCACTGAAAGGTGTGTGCTTATCTTAGGGAACTGTTTACAAATAAGTTCTGGCTGGGAATGAAAGTAATTCCCGGTGTTGCAATAAAATAGGTTTTGCTTTTGAAACAAGTTTGTGTTTAATTATGTTTGACGAAGCCTGGGTCAGAACATTATTATTCTAAGACGCTATTATGAAGGAAAACTACATACCGCTATATTATATACCAGTGATGGCGAGCCTTTTTGTTGTGGTGTGCGGAAAGTGTGCATGCACACACTAGCGCGTGCCAACACCCACAATGCAATGCAACCCGCTCCCAGTGCATGTGTATACAATACCCCCACCCCGCTCCCTTGCCTGCACTGTACATGCACTTGCCTCCCAGTTGATTTTTGGGCCGTTTCAGGCTGTTTTTGTCCTCCCAGACGCTCAAGGGAATCCTCTGCAGCCTCGGGAGGCTGAAAAACGGGCTTTCTGGAAATACCGGAAGTGCCTGTTTTCAGCCTCCGGAGGGCCTCTGGACCTGGGACAGGCCATTTTCGCCCTCCAGAAGGAAGTCTCTGGAACCTCAGGAGGCTGAAAACGGGCCCATTTTGGCACTACTGGTATTTCTGGAAGGCCCATTTTTGTCCTCCCGAGGGTGCAGAGGCTTCCCTCGAGCCTCTGGGAGGCCAAAAATGGCCTCAAACGATCCAAAAATCAACTGGGAGGCAAGCGCATGCACAGTGCAGGTAAGCTTGGCTGTGTTCTGAGTGAAACCTTGTTCCAAGGAAACAAACACGAAACAGAGGTAATAGAAAAACCTTTTAATGATTCTTTACGAATTCCGTTCCTTCACGTTTAAAAGGCTGTTTCAAACTAATTGTCTCTGATAAGAATGAGTCTTGCCAAGGTGGTGCAAGGCTGCCAAGAACACTAGATAAAGTAACTAAGAAATATTTCAAACACAAAGAGTCTCCAAACACCAACCAAGATATTCCGAATGTCCACAAGGTTTGAGTGCAAAATCTTTTTTGCGTCCTGCAAAGAACTCCAGTTTCAAGCAGTCCTGTGTGCACGCCTACTGGGCACAGGTCTCCTGGGGACCTCTTCATCACTGCTGCCAGCCTCCACAATCTCCAAAGGCAGCATTCCACTCCCTGATCGTCTTGGCCCCATCCCTGCCTCACACGCAGGCCCCTCATCTGAGTCCTCATTCTCCAAGACCTCAGCCAACCTGCTGCCAGCAAACCATAACAGGCTGGGGCTTGCATGCCCACACAAATGACTCTGCATGCCACCTGTAGCACACATGCCATAGGTTCACCATCACAATTATATATTAAGTAAAATATTTCATTCCAATTATCTTATAAAATACTTAAGTTTGATACTTAAATATAACATATAAATGTTGCTATGTTAAATTATTTAAATATACAATTCTGAATAGAGACATTAAGAAGCAGAGCATCTTATATAATATACAAATTATACTGTACACATTGTAATGTACATTACTGAATAATAATATAGTTAAGTTACCAGCATAGTTTTACTGCCTGTTTAGCACCTAATTTCACTGTTTTATGCAATCTAACTCAGTGGCCTCCAGCCTTTTGGACACCAGGGACCAATTCCATGGAGGGCAGTTTTTGCACAGACCAAGGTGTGTGGTTTTGTGAAGTGACTGGATCCTGCCCATGAGTGAATGGGGGCTTCACTCTCTTGTGCAGCCTGGTTCCTGGGCCAGTGTGGACTGGTGCGTCCACGGCCCCAGGGTAGGGGACCCGATATAAAACATACATCTTTCTTTAGGAAAATGCACAAATTATTGTTGAAGTTTATTACCAGATATACCATTCTTCTTTGCAACTTAGTAAGCGTGTAAGCCTAAATCAAAGGTATGCTGGTTGTAAAACAATTTTCCTTTGTTTAACCCCAAAGATATATCAATGTAGGATTCTGCTAGCATAAATATGAGCTTCCCAATCTTCTGTTGACTCTACAGTAACATGATTGGAACGAATGTAGCTGGGGTTTTCTTCGGTTTAGTCTAATATGGTATAACATTTTTAACACTGAATATGGAAACGAGGACCAACCATTGCCATGACTGACTTTAAGAAACCTCTCAACCTTCTAGAATACCATGCAGCCTCCTTTTTTTCTACTTGAACTATGCCCCCCCCCCAATAATTTTGCTTAGAGTACAATAAAGCTTCATTTAGCCTCCTGTTGGCTTAACCAGCCCCAGGACAGGTTAGAACAAGGCAATGAAAGGAAGGAAAAGCTTATTAAGCTTATTAAGTATGACAAAAAATTACTGTATAATTCCCTCAAAAATATGTTCAGAAGTATATCATAATTGTTTGTTACAACACTGAACCAAAACGAATTGTTGGAATGCATATACAGGTAAATAAACTGGGGAAAGATAATCAAGAAAGATGCTACCACGTCTAATGTTTGGCCTTTTACAGTCAAGGTTTCTATTAATTACAGGTAGTCCTAGACTTACAAGTTTGTTTAGTGACTGTTCAAAGTTACAACAGCACTGAAAAAGTGACTTATGTCAATTTTTCTCCCTTACAAAAATTGCAGGATCCATACAGTCGTGTGATAAAAATTCAGACACTTGTCAATTGACTCATATTTATGATGGCTGCAGTGTCCCAGGTTCATGTGATCACCTTTTGTGACCTTCTGACAAGTAAAGTCAATGGGGAAGCCAGATTCACTTATCAACCATTTTACTAACTTAACAGTTGTAGTGATTTACTTAATATCTATGGCAAGAAAGTAGTAAAATGAGACCAAATTCACTTAACAAATGTCTCACTTAGCAACATAAATTTTGGGCTCAATTGTGGTTGTAAGTTGAGAACTACCTATATTTAGATGAGAAAAAAATAGTTACAAAATTTGAAGACAACAAAATATTGGGTGGGATAACAAAGATGGTAGAAGAAAGTAGAATTCATAACAAATTTTGAATAGACATAGACTGAAAATAGTACAACGAGATTCGGCAGCCAACTCTACAAAATTATCCATGTAAGTAACCGAAATCAAATAATAAGTCTAGAACAGGTAATAGTTAGCTTTACAAAATTTTTAAAGATCTCTGAACAATAATTAATTATAAAACAGTATAAATCAACAGTGCAAAAAAAGACAAATGCTCTTTTTGTTATATTCAAAGAATTCTAATTTGCATCTACTTTATTCTGCATTGATAAGACTCCACATTAAAAAATCAGTTTGAGCACCATATTATTAAGGAAGATTAATACAAACTGAAACTATTTCAGAGAATGGGAATAGAAACCATCAGGAGACCATATATTAAATTCTATTAAGAGAAATGGACGGACTAGGAATGTTTATGGTGCATGATACACTATTCAAGGAATGTCACTAAAAGTTAAGACCTCTTCTTTATTATCCTGGAGTATAATATGTGAAAAAAACAGACTTAACTTAGAAAAGCAGATTCCATTTGAACAGGATGAAAGATTTTCTAGTAGGAAGATAAATTCAGCACTGGAATCAATTATACAAAAATTGAGTTGTGCTCCACCGAAAGATATATTCAAGCATAAGTAGTCATTTGTCAGGAATTCTTTAGTTTGGACTGCTGCAGGGGACACAATACACTGAACCATAAACTAACCAAGCATGAAGACTTCTAATTCAGTTATATCTTTACAGTCCTCAAGGCCACAATTGAGCCCACAATTTCTGTAGCTAAGCAAAATATTTGTTAAGTGAATTTTGCTCCATTTAACAACCTTTCTTGCTACACTTGTTAAGTGAATCACTGCAGTTGCTAAGTCAGTAATACATTTATTAAGTGAATTGGCTTCCCTATTGACTTTGCTTATCAGAAGTTTGCAAAAAGTGATCACATGACGGACACTGCAACCATCATAAATACATACCATAAATGCCCAAATTTTGATCACATGACAAGGATCCTGCAATGGTCATTAGTGTGAAAAATGGTCATAATTCACTTTTTTCAGTGTCATTTTAACTTCAGTCATTAAATGAACCATTATAAGTCGAAGATTACCTGTATTGATTCATTCTCAATGCTCAGATTATTGTACAGCTCTCTATTATATATTGAGATGCAGAAATGCAGGGATCTGCTATCTGCCTGTTCTTTAAAAAAAATCTTAAATTCCCAACTGGAATAATATCAACATCATACTATGAACTGCTATTCTAACTGCTTGCAAATGGAAGTGATATTCCACATGCCTCTTATTTAGCACTACGGCACTTAATGGAAAACATTCAGATTTGGGATAAACTTCATTTTGTTTTGTAGTTCTTACCTCTTTCACATTGAGGGCCTGTGAATCCATATACACATGCACAACGATTGGGCCCGATGCAGCGACCTCCATTCTGGCATCCATGTTCACAGACAGCTGTGTTTTGAATAAAAATATTATATGTATATAATAAAGTAAAAATAGTCATTTGAGGATTATTAAAAAACTGGATATTTATAATAATCAGTGTTCCTAATGGAGAAGCCTTAAAAGAAAATGCATTAGGAAAATGTGCCTATATTAATTAATTAGTACAATTTTAAGCCTGGGACATGGCTTAACTTCTTTGCCAAGTCTTTAATTCTTGAACATTATCAGATTGAGAGCCATCTAGGTCTCTGCCCTGCTGTCATTCCAGAGGAAAGGTACTGCAACAGAAAAGGCATAATTCATGGATCCCACTAGATGACACAGCTTCATTGATGAGTCCAAAATATGCTACGATACCTGGTACTTGCCCTCAACTCAAACAAGTGTCATTTGAATAGGTGCTGACAAGACATAATTGAAAATGTAAACGGATTTTGGAGGAACACCTAAATTAAGGTTCTTCCTCATGATCACGTTAAAATGACTGGTAGATGTTGTCCCTACACTTTTAATGAGAGACAAATGAAAGAAAAAGCAACTGGTGGATTGCCCCAGCTTTCTCTTCACTCATACTAAGGAAAACTTCCTGCTCTCATGAACCTGAAGGATGGGTGGGTGGAAGTCAGTTGCTTTATTGACAAGTTTAATTATATAAATTGTGTCTAAAGCTTTGGGAGAAAAAAGGTCATACAAATATTAAAATACAGTTTCACTGAAAATCATATTCAAATATATCACTTTTTAAATATAACATACAGAAATTACATGTGCCAAGTACAATCTGAAAGAATTTTCTGTAATAATGGATTTTGAACATCTGTCTGAAGTAAGAATTTCTACCATACAACGATTAAAGCACCATTTGTTATGCTTTCTATATTCCCTAAGATTTGACCTGGCCTCTAAGAAAACAAGCATTTATATTCAGCAGAACCCATTCCCTTCTCTTGCAGATCTAGACATCTCAGGGGACATGACATTTGTTTGCAGTGCCACAGAGTCTGGGAAAAGAAGGGAAAAAAGCATACATCCAGATAGTTAGAAGAGACAAGTAATACTCAAAGTGAGGAAACTAAGGAAAATATTGTGTTGAAAAGATCAAAATGTGAAAAAGCAACATAATTCATCTACAGAGTTGAAAAAATAATGGCAATAGCTTAAAGGCTGTTCTATCATATGCTTTGAGGCTACAAAACTTTGAGATTATTTATCTCATCTATAAAAAAAGTGCTTGTAAAAAGAGAATGAAAAATTATACTGTCCCTATTATACTTGGATAGCATATTTTATTTTGTATGTTTTTGTATCAGGGTGATTGCATTATTATAATGCTTCTTTTGTTTAACTGGTTATCTACTAATAAAATATATTTTATTGCTTACTGTATTATTATTGTGTTAGTATTTTTATATTTACTCTTCTATAACACACTAACCAGCCTGAAAAACTCTTGTCATGAATGGATAAAAATATAACAAATACATTTCTCTTACTGGCATAATGTAAGTCATTAGTAATAAAATCTTCCAAAGCGGGGGTGAGTAAACTAATGAATATACAGAAGTCTAAAAACATAGACTTATAAACAGTTCTAAGTATATGCAGAAACCAGTGTTAAAATGGTCAACACATTTTCGTTCACAGACATACTGTGGTCTGGGTAATTGTGTGAATTGAACAGGCATCAGCTTTTTTTCCAAGTGTGTATATGTTAGCTCATTTAAACTTGAATAACAGAACTTGACAAATTTGTATTACTTCTATAGTAGACATATGTTGCATTCTAAGAGATTTTGAAAAAAGGCAATACTTGCCTCTAAATTCAAAATTAATCCTTCATTGCAGTATGCACAATTGCTCTACTAGTCTACCAAGTCTACAAAGTATGAAAAAATGATGCATACATAATAGTTGTATTTCACTGTTACAAAACAGATACATTTAGAACAAGTTTATAACTTCCTTAAGAAAAAGCTAAAGGTTATTTGATTTGAGTATTTTAGGCAATTTTCCCAAATAAAGACTCAAACAGCATATGATCAGCTACTGAAAGGATTCATTCTCTTGTTCCAAAAAAACAGATGAGGAGAAAGAGAAGAAAAAAAAAACATTTAAGCATGGAAAAAAGAGTCCAGAAATAATGTAGCAGAACTATTATATTTCAAGTAAAAACACAAATGTACCCAAAATTTTCCTTACTTTATTAGATCTCATTAAATGAATTATTGCTCTTCAGCAATTACTAATTACTATACAATTAATTTTATATGTAGTAGAACAGTGAACTATGACAGCACAATTTATGTAACAAATGAATATATTGACATAATCTAAAGATTATCTCTCCAAATACTTGTGAACTAAAATTTGATGACTCCAAATGGGACTTGCCACAAAAAAGTTAGTGTAATTTTATCCTGATCTCATTTTAATCACCCATGCCCTTCTTCGGGAAAATTTTACAGATAAACAATGTTGATTCTTCACTGAATTATCTTCCCTTAAACAATCTCCTTGGATTCCACAAAGCCCCTAAGAGCTGGCTCCGCTCCCAGGCCTAGGTTAATGTGTTCCTTAATGCATATATGAGGCCTTTGTTGCATTGTATGGTTTATTGTTCTGCTTTAGGCTGTGTTTTTATGCATGTTTTTAATATTGTGTTTTTTAGAATTCTGTAAATTGTCATGCCTAATGGTGTAGAAGGTCACAATCAATTTGGTAAATTAAATTAATGATAATTCACAAACTTGTTAAGACCATATTTGTGCAATTTTGGTACATTTTTCATTTAAAAAATGGTGCTCCAACTCAAAAAATCAAAAATAGATATAATAGTAGGAAACTGAATGTAATGAAATGATGCACAGTTTAATCAGAACCAAGGAATGGAGAAATAAAGCATGAAACAGCTAAAATAAAAGAAGTGGGAATACAAATATTATGCCTAGGAAAAGAAAAAAGTCTGAAAAAAGAACAGATACAAATACAGGATACAGGATCTTCTGAGACAAGCAATAGATAATTGTATTTTGCTTACATCTTATATTTCTACTCTTATAAATAAGGAATAAATAACAATGAACCATTAATTGGTATTTTTTTCAGAAACAAAATCAGCCCTTTGATTTTAAAAAAATCCAGCTCCATCCCCTAGTCTTCCTCTTATGCTCCATCATTTCTACAATGCTTTTCAATGTTTGTACAGAGATTATTTGCCACTATTATCAGAACCTGCAAATTATTGTTTCATAACTTTAACTTGCTCTTAAAATGTGGTTTGGGAATCTGGTCTAAGGGCAATTAATGACTGATCAAGAACCTAAAAGTAAACATTGAATTTATAATATAAAGAGGGTGTATAGGACTTTGAAGTCATGTTCTATTTATTGAAGTAATATCCAACCATGGCTTGGCATTATCTTAGAATATATCTTATAGGTCCTGCTTACCAACAATGTTATGGGAAAGAAGATTCTAAATGTTCCAGAATAGATACCTTAAATTGCTTTGCTCTACACAATCAACTAAGCAAATACATTAAAAAATATTGTACATTCTACGAAATTAATTGCTAACAGATTAATTGCTAACCGCTCCTATACCAGTTTTGGAAACTTTTAAATTTTATATCCTTTCTGAGAAAAAAATGCCTTTTATTATTTCATTAGTTATCAATTACTAGCTGTTTCAGAGACTGAGCTATAAATTCAGTAAATGAAGAAGCACTCCAATTTCCTTGTGCTTCCTTAAGTCACAGTTTCTCATTTGCAGCAGGCTGTAATTTATGAAATGTAAAGTTTTCAGACTTCCATTTTTCAAGTATTAGACTCATCATCAGTACATGTAGATATTGTAGTCATTCCCATTTCACTATAAAGGTAGGTAGACATTAAATGAAGATTACATGTACACTACAAGTGCCATAAGTTTAACATTTGGGGCATTTTAATGCAATTCACATGCCAAATTTTCCCCAAAGGAAATGCCTGTTATGTAGACTTTACAGTGCCATACTAACAAAACCAAACCATCAGGACTTATTTCTTAGATCACTTTTCTGAAAAATACCAGAATATGAACTTGACTATAAGTATGGCTGTAGTATTTGAAATGGATAGCATAAATTCAGATGAAATATATACATAAAACACAAAATATTTAACAATGTCATTGTTTTTCTGTATAAACTAAAAAGTTTGCTTAATTAAGGACTCCTTGAAATGTAAAACTTCATTCAAAATGTTCCTGCTTACTGCCAGTACTTTACTTCACAATTCTAATGGTGCTTAAACAAACTAATACTATTACTGCTTCTTATAAAAACATCTCTGTATTTTTATAATAATTACATCTCTCTGAGAGAAATATGTCTTCCCTGTAACTACCCTATCTACATAATATATGTTTTGTTCATGACTATCCATTGAACCTAATAGGTGAAAAATGCACTGAATTCACAATTCCCATATCCAGATGCAATAGCAACCATTCAAAAATATCAGAAAACTATATAACACCTATACTTTATGCTACATTCATGACAGGAATCGTTCAAATAAATCACAACTGCCAAATGTTTACTTACGTTGCCCACAGTAACTGCCAATATATCCTTTTTGACACTGGCATTGGTCATCTAGACAGGTACCACCATTCAGACATCTGACGTTACACTGTTGTACTACAGAAAAATGCAGACAATTAGTTATGCATTAAATTGTCATTTTATATTAGGTAGCAAAAAAAGACACAAATATTGAGAAATAATGCGAAAATGTAGACATAATAAATCATTAAAATACATAATGTAAAATATATAACATATGTTAGCATTTTGTGACCTAACATTTCAATTTAAACTGATTTAAGGTTCTAGTATAAGTGGCTCATTGTCATTAAAGCACCAGGCTAGAAATCAGGACACTGTTTCAGTCTTGTTTTAGCCATGAAAACCTACTGACTTTGGGCCAGTCACCTCATAGGGTTGATGTTGTGGGAGAAATAGGAGGAAGAAGGATCTATGTTCTCTGCCTTGAGTTATTTATAAAAACAATAGAGGCAGGATGTAAATAAATAAATGCTTCTTTATAAAATGCTACTGTACATATAATTTTGAGGACTATTTATTCAGATTTTTTGTGCAGTTTTCCATTAATGTCTCTTCCTTGGTATACATACATTTGTCCTTAACACATGCTTCATCTATTTCTTTGCTTCTCAAATGCCATTTTAATATTTCATTTCTTTGCCAATACTAGAGTATCTGAATTCTGCATTAATAAACTTAATCTAACTATAATCTTTCTTCTGTATTTAGAATGTGGTTTCCTCCACGAATTCCTTTTACTACTTTATCTTGATCTATAATCATCTCTAATTGGTATTAATGCTTTGAAGCTTTTTTATTTTATTACATTCATTTTATTTTAAAACTTATCATTCTGATTTCAATTAATTTCCACTTTGTTTCATTAACTTCACTCCAATATACATCCAACATATTATTGCTATTTTAAGCATGCAAGTTACGTATTTTAGTTGTTTACCACATAACACAGTTGATATCTTATTTTTCAATCAAAAAAAACAATGTGGCTCATAAAAATTATAAACCAATATAAAAATGCAGTAAAACAATGGGATATTTTAAATGATCACAAGCAAAAATGAATGGGGTCAAAACAACAGGAAGGAAAACTATGTGGATGCTTTACTTCACTTTGCTTTAAGAAGGGAGAAGGGGATATAGTCCATGAGATAACTTCAAAGGGGTGCTTCATACAAGCTATCAAAACAAAATATGTGTTTGAAACTTTGCACAGCCCTACTATTTAGATAGTTAAACATAGGAAAAAGTCAACATCTTGCTTGCCATGGTTCTTAGGAAGAAACTAGGTAATCAGTGAAATTAGAATTAGAATCAGACCATGTTCATCCATATTTACATACTGTAAAGCAGTTTGTTCACTTCTGACTTAGTGAATCCACAGTTGTTTCTCAATCATGGTTTAGTGATTACTGTACAGCACAAACATAGCTATTTAAAATGTTCAATAAATTAACAGTGTATCCTGACTCAGCATGATCTGTGAACAAATCCAAATAATGTGTTATGCTTGTTGTGCTTTTAGGTATGGGTAACCAATGTGCAAGTTTAGCCCTTCTTCCAATAGGGTTGCCAACAGAAGAGATATAACTGAAGGGTAGGAAAACTGTGGACACATACCAGAAGTTTCAAAAGACGGTAACTGGATTGACTATCTATTTTTAAAGAGAACAGATGAAATCCTTCTAACCCTAAACAGAAAATACCTTTATTATGTATAATAAAATGAAAAGGATGCTATTTAAGCCTTACTAGATTTTGGTCCACAGCTTGGCAATATTTGTCCATTGGAGCAAGTACACATATTAGGACGAGAACAAAATCCATCACCACAACTATTTCTACAAATGGCTGTGGAAAAAGTAATATATTACAAGACTTGCAATCATACATTATTAAACAAATAGTAAAACATATGTTTAAAAGTTTCAAAACTATAGAATATAGGCATTTTCCTGTATATTGAAATTATATTAGGAATTTTTATTATTTTTATTGCTCCAACAAACAGAATGAAAACAATAATCTTCATTCAATATCTTTACAATGTTCAATGTGGGACAAAGCACACAAAATTCTACTCCATGCAAATTATATATGGCTAATACAAAGTCATTATAGAAATCAAAAACATCCAGATCATCTATATAGATAAAAATAGGTATCAAGTTTTTACTGTCAAAGTAATTTGGGAGTGAGAAATATGGAGATCAGTAGGACAGGAATGTCTACAAATAAGCCTACCCTAAGCTACTACTGTAATCAATGCTAGGCAATGGAAGTTTTCCACCTTCAGGATAAAAAGATTTCTATCAGAAGTGGGATATGAAAGGGGAAGTCAACTGCAATTAGTTCCCATTTATCTGAATTCTAATTCTATTTCTCCACACAAGCTCATGGTTGCTAATTGAATAGATTTATTGATAGATTCTTGCATTTAGCATCACATCTGTATTAGCCTTGCAGGACCAAACTACTGCTTTCCAGCTGATGACATCTTTAAAAAAAAACAATCTTCAGTAATGTTATTTTCCTAACCAAAGCATGTGTTTTGGAGATATGCTAGGTTTAGACCAGGGGTGTCCAACCTTGCTGGCTGAGGAATTCTGGGAGTTGAAGTCCACAAGTCTTAAAGTTGCCAAGGTTGGACACCCCTGGTTTAGACATTGTTTCAATGCACTAATTGCAAATGCATTTCTAGTTTCATTTCAGAGAACAATATCTTTTTCTTGGTTAACAGGTTACAGTTACAAAAATACTAAAATGAGATTTTAATTCTGCTTTAACTGTACCTTTGCAAACTGTAAATTACCAGAGCTAAGGTGATACATCAATGAATACTATAGATACATCCTTTCTTTCACAGTTGATTTCTTTATTTTTTCAAAAGAAGTTTATTAATTCAAAGAGGTTTATTTCAAGATATCCCATGCCAGAAATATTTTAATTAAATGCTAGACAATGAGAGTCACATTAAGCAATGACATCAAACAAGTTGACAAGCCTGGTATTTTGGTGGAAAGAAATTATGGACATTTGTGAAAAGGATGTGCTTCAAATCTATCTTGAGAGCCAGGCTGATGTAGTAGTTAAAATGCCAGGTTAGAAACCAGCAGACCATGAGTTCTAGTTCCTGCTTATAGACAAAGTCAGTTGGGTGACCTTAGACCAGTCACTCTCTCTCAGCCTTAGGAAGAAGGCAATGGCAAACCACATTTTAAAAAAGTTTAATCCAGATAGTTGCCAAACCACTGGTTTGAATGCACATAGGAAAAAAAAATCATAAAATTAACTTTTGTTGTTGTGATGGTTCTATGCTAAAAAACATACACCCAATTTCTGATGAGGCAGAGCTTCCAAAAAGAAAAAAAAATAGAATACATACTGCAATCCCTTGTGTAAAAAAATACATTAGCTTCAATTGAGAAATTATAATTTAATATTAAAAACATAAGGAAAACATAACAAGAAATATATTGTGTAAACATATCCAATATGTATATAATTAACTGATGACCTTTATAAACACTATTTTATCTATATTCCATTATCTATAGATGAATTGTTCATCATGGATCACAAAATATGCTGTGCTTCCTTGTTGTTTACAAATTGTTATCATGGGGTATTTTGATATGTGCGGTTATATAACTGCTATGAAATCTTGAGATAAATCTCAATTTATCATCTCTAATATTCTGAATATTATTTAATATCATTACAAGTATTTATTTATGAGCAATTAGAACCAAAATTTTAGTCACTAGATGGTGTAGTCATTAAACAAGTATCATGTGATCAGACTCAACTTTATGACTACTTTTACCACAGTTGCTAAATGAATAACATACTTGTGAAGTGATTCATATGATCTGGCTTCGCTAATTGACTTTGATTGTCATAAGCTGACAGAGAAAGTCACAAATCGAGAACACAGTACCACAAGATGCTGCAACAGTCATAAATGTGAGTTGGCTGCCAAGTGCTCTAATCATGATAACGTAATCTCAAGAGAGATACAACAGAAAACTTTTTTAAAAGTCATTTTTCTAGTCCATCTTTGAACCTTCGTTAAACGAACAATCTTTTGTAAGCGTAACCTATAATCTTAAAAAACTGATTCATATTTAATATTAAGATCAGAAGAGTAATATGATAAACAAAAACAGTGAAACATAAGAGGTAGGCCAGAATGATATCAATTTCTTTCTGTAATAGTTGCCTAATTGCATGGAATATCAAATTTGAGATATAATAAATTAGCATGATTATGCCTACAAAAGGTATAATCCTAGAGTTTCTCAAGAGTTGTTGGAAATATATACACTGAGAATCATTATTGCATCTTGGTGAAAGAAATGACTGGCTGGGAAGATCAAAGTTATAATCCACTCTCCTTGATATATTTGAGGCCATGTTTTATCCCTCTGTCCAACTAATCTCACAAGATTGATCTTTCAAAGATAAAAATAGAGGACTAAATGCAATGAGCTTCTGGAAAAAAAGGTGAACTCTATATATTTTATTTATTTATCTATCACATTAAAAGTGCCCATCTCCCTCACAGAGGGACTCTGGGCAGTGTCAGAGGGATTCTGAGCAAAAATGAATGAATGATTTGAATCTGTTTCTGTACCTGGAATATAATGTTCACAGGATAACCATCAGGTTCAATCTCCCTCAGTTTTCTATTTTTCTATTTTTAACCAGGGGGCTCCAATGCATCCTTTATCTCAACTCTGGGTAACATAAGTATAGTTAGAAAACAGCTCTGGATAATTGGTGTTCAACACTTCTGACCATCTATGGACGTTCTCAGTCATCCAGGTCATGGTTGTCCCAAAGGTGCTTTTTAAAGAGGCAACTGGACTTTCTTTGTTTTTTCCTTGAAGACAAGGAAAATTATCAATTATCATCTAAGGAGGTTCTTGGATGAGAATTGAAATGTCTTCAAGGAAAAAACAAAGGAAGTTCAGTTGCCTCTTGGAAAAGTTCCTTTGGAACATTTTCTTTAAAGCATACCCTGAAGGGGAGAGAGAAGCTAAAATGGGTTGGTAGGTTGCAAACTGATGAACATAACTTAAGATGGAGAGTACTTTTAGTAGATTAGAGGCTGTTATGTGGCATTGCTCTGGACTGTATGTTTATTTATTTCCTGGTGATGGATCTCTTTTATTGATTGACATTGTAAGATTCTTTGAGACTTATGCATCATGTGTGATTGTAAGCTATTTGATTTAGGGTAATATTAGGATTGTGCTAGTATATGAGCTTAGTATTTGCTTCATGAATTGTTATTATATTGTGAGAAATAACTGGTAGGCCTCTCTTATAACCACAACAATGAACCATAAAAGCAGGTTAATTATATAATATGTTAATTGGGTAGCACACAAATGCCTTTGGGATTTTTATTTCTCAATCAGAAACTAGCACCATATAAAGAAGACTAATCCTCTCATATTCTACATTTCTGAAAATTCATCTTTGTGTACCTATCTACACATGGAGGTGAAAAGTTTTACTGGAACCAAGGGAATCTTTGATTTTAATCATCATATAATTGAGAAGAGTAAAGGTCAAGTCTGTGGGAAAAACTTTCCCCACCCATGCAGTGGCCTTGATCTAAGTCAATCCATTGTGTTTAATTTTTTTTAAAAGGAGAGCAACCATATTCTCATAATTTAATATACTCCATTGTTTGCCCCTCAGACATAAGTTCTATTGTATTTAATAAGAATTACTATAAATAAATATACATAGGATTTAACTGCTGTTAATATTCAATTTACCACAAAATAGATATAATTTATATATCTATAGATAGTAGATAAATAGAAAAAACAGAAGAGATCAAAAATATTCTGTCCAGTTTTTGTCTAATACTTATGATTTTTCAAATGTTCTAGAGCTGAAAGCTGATCTCAGCCACAGATTATAGAGGTCTAGCTTGGTGAATCCCAAGCATAGTATAACTAAATTCCATTTTGCCAAGACAAATCAGTAGTCACATTTCGCAGGACAAAAATAATATTGTTAATCTATTAAAATACACTTATCACATCTAATCTAAATCTATTATAACTTAAGTATAACAAAAATATAAATATCCTAAACAATTCATATCATTTATGTACTATATTATTTATGAATTTCAAAAATGAGTTTTTATCAAATTATTTTTGAACTTTAGTATATATTGTCAGTTCTTAGGTTTTAAAAATTGTCAAGCAATTGCTATTTCTTAAATTCAAAGTTGAAGCCTAAATTTAGCAATTCATCTACTGTAGTGTAAATTCATATTTTTGTTTAAATGTAAGTATCTACTAAAAATGAATATTCCAGAAGACTTACGAACAATACACTGATTCCCCCCAGGGAGTGTTTTCCATCCAGGGCAACAGTAGGAATGGAATCTGGAGCCACACACATTTGGTCTGTTGCATGCAAACAAATACATACACAAAAACACAGGTCATTTGGAGCAGCCATTCAAATATTTGCTCCACAGAATAAAAAAATTATTGGCTATAGAGCAATGACAGACAAATTCAGATAGGTTTTATATTTCTAAAAAAAGATTCCTAGAAATCCTTTTAAAATTAATAACCTGCTTCTTAGCAAAAAAGGGGGAGATGAACAACAAGTTTTCCGTTTTAAACCATTCTGTGAATAGTGAGCAATAGATCAAATTCATGCATACTTTATTTTTATTAAGAGTGAAACATCAAAGACGTCTGACGCAACATTTCTATCTTAAGAGAAAGAATTACAGTGTCTATCAAACTGGTATGCAAGTAAGCTATTACAAAGACTTTAAATGGAAAGGATTTGTCACATATTTTATATATTGGCACTTTTAAGTTTCTTTCCTTTGAAAAAGCATGTATCTTTATCAGGTTTTAACTGAAATGATTCTTCAACTTTACTACACCAAAACCTTTTAAAACTTGATAATGTCTGCTACATTTGGTACTCTTGTTGGTATGATATTACCAACTGGCTCTTAGAAAAGTAACTGTTGATGTTACCTATTTTGGGTAATGAAACATCTGCAAGAAAACAACTAAGCTCAGAAAGAACCAAGGACCCCTCAGTTGTTTTTTGTTTTAGACCCTTAAGACACATGAAAACTTTCCAACAAGGACCAAAATTAAAATTAAAAAGGAATAACAATTATAAATATGGGAAAGGACATATTGCAGTGTTCAAAAGGAAAACTGAGATACCTGCCAAGTATTTAGACTAAAAGTTTTAACGGGAACATGTTAAGATATGATGCATTTTACTGAGAAAACAAGTTAAAGAAGTGGTTGTTGTAACACAATTAAAATGAACACTAACAAATAGAAATAAAGGAAAGGAAATTATATGTGGAACTTCCAATTTAAACTTGTGAACAAGCTTTCTACTTAAGTACTTTTAAAATAAGGAACTGTGCTTATCATATGCAATTCTATGGAACAGTGAAATAAGAGAAAATTATTTTTAATGCTGTAAGATTCTGTCATGAAATCACACAAATACTGAGTGAAGTATTGCCAATGTGGCAATACTTTAAACAACTATTTAAAATCAAAGTACAATCCAATTTTGGACATACAGATTTGTTAGAGAAGCAAGGTGTGTGTGTTTTAAACAATGTGGTTTTGCCCTAGAATTGATGCCACCTACAGGTAAATGAATTGCTTGGACACAGGTCGCTGAGGTAGTTAGGTACATAGACATTCCTGTATCATGTAGGCCTAACCATGATCTTGAGAAGGTTAATAATCAAATCAAAGAAAGACAATGGGTTTAGAAGTAAAAACATAATTTGGCAGAAATGTGACATCAAGACAGGCTTATGGACTGTAAGTCTGTAACTAGTAGTAGATTTCAAGACTACTTTAGTCTTTAAGGACACAGAATAAAATAGTATGCTGTGCCTTTAAAGACTACAATCTTGAAATGGCATTTTAGCCAATGAGGATATACCTGAAACACAGACTTGATCAATGGCCAACAGGCTTACATGGCTAAAGAATGAAGATGGTCACTGTATTTCAAGCAGGTGAATTACCTGCCTAAAGCTATGGAAAATTAAAGAAAAGTTTTAGAAAAGTGGAAATAGATGAAGGACCTAATGATTACAGACAAAGTGTCTGTCTATATTACAAACTATGTCACAATGAGTTTAAGGAGGAACAAAATTAATTCCTGTACTATTGGTATTGGGGAATAATGCTTAAAGGTGGAAGATGACTAGTTACAGAAGCAGAAAAACAACACCATTTCATCTGTGAGTTACCTTCAGTTATTAAGGCCTGTATAGTTCATTATCTAAACTTGAAAGATGTGATCAACTACATAATTACTGTTGTATAATTATATACACGTGGCCTATTTTTCCCCAAACAGCAGCTGAGGAAGAAAACCTGTGGCTGAATTGTACCACTTCAGACAACCCTTTCAGAGATGGAGGGTCACATTAAGTGGAAGGGGGAGAACAGAGCCAAGAAATTCCTGCACATAGCAGCAGAGCCAAGAAGGGTAGGTAGACTACAGTCCTAGTCCCCTCCTTTTCTTTGATCAGGGATTGAATCGATTTAATCCCTGGGAAGGCACATTTTAGCATGCCACCCCCTACCTGCCGTCTGTAGTGATCCCATCCAAGCGCAGGTTTATGCTACCTTCCACTGCTGTCTGCAGGAAACAGGCCTACCTGTGGCGGACGTGGGTGCGAGCAAAAGTTGCTTTCCTACCCCCTGAGCATGTCCTGCTGGCCTCTCCTGCGGACGCGGTTGGCGGCGGCTGGCGCTGTGCCTCCTTCCAGACTCCCCAAGATAGAGTAGCGGCTAGTATCCGCACCCTCCGCCGGACGAGCCTGCCGCTGCTGCCCAGCGGATCCATGCGCCCAGAGCGCCACACACCCCAGCCAAAGGAAATACGGCTGCAGGCAAAGCGCCCGCCGTCTCCCCATCGCGGACGGCAGGAATTCCTGAGGTGTCGGCACCGAGTCCGACTTGTTCCTAGGGGAGCGCCCGCTGCTGCTCCTCTCTCGCCCGCTGCCCTCCTCTCGGCAAGGCGAGCGTCGCTCCTGCTGCTGGCCCTCCGCCCCCTCAGCGAGACGCCTTGCGGGTCGCGGCGGTCAAGGGGACTGCTGCTCGCCTTCCACGATGCATCTTCCTCACACACCCCCTTCCCCCCGAGCCACTGGAAAGCGCGCAAATTTCACCACCCACCCACCCACCCACCCCCCAAAAAAGTTGGTCAGAGCAACAAGTGAGGCTTCCAGTTTCTTTCGAGGGGACGGGGTGGGGGAGGAAAAGGGAGGAGGGCGGGAAACGTTTTCTGAACCAGTCTTTTTAACTGAAAAGAATCCTCAGTGAGCAAAACTACGCTTTGCAAAGAAAAAAATTAAAGAGAATTGTCCACTTCAAAAATAAAACATTAAAGTTACTAATAACCACAGCGGACACGAGCCGATTTCACCCGGACGAACCCAGGGACAAAAAAACAAAACAAAAAAAACCAGGAACTTCTTGCTACGCCGCTGCCGCCCGAGGAGCGAGGAAAGGCGGCGATCCGGTGTACGGAAAGAAGAATGAGGGGAGGAGGAAAGCGCGGCTCGGCGAGGGAGGAAAGAAAGGGCAAGGGGGAGGCGATTGCCTGCCTGTCAGTGGGGAGCAGCGGCGGCGCGCCAAACACGTGGGAAAGGAGCCCACTGGAGGCGGGAAGAAGGCTGCGCCAAGGGGGCGCCGAGAGTCGAGTGGGGGCGGAGGATGGAAAAGGAAAGCCCGCGCGGCCCTGGTAATCGGCTGAAGGAGGGGGGGGAGTTTTGGAAACCGGGATGCGAGAGGAGTTGAGGCCGGGAAATTGGAAGGGGGCGCTGGAGAAGACTGACGGAGGGAAAAGGAGGTGGGCGCCAATCAGTCAGTTCCTCCGTCACAGCGGTACCGCGCCGTGGTACCTTGGCATCCTCTTTTTGTACCCAACAAAAAGGAGGCTTTCTCCCGCTTTCACCTCTTCCTCTCTCAATTCTTTTAGAGAGCAACTGCCATCAAAACAAAAAAGATGGATAGGATTGATTGCCAGTAAAACTTTGTGTTGCCCTTCACTTCCTGAGTTTGAACGAAATATGTTTAGGCTACACAATTGGCGTGTGGTAGTTTGTCAGCATCTGTGTGTCTCTCTCTGACACGCACAAGGGGGATTTCATAACAATTCTTCAGTAACCTGACAGGTTCAAGATATGGTCCCTTGCCACTGATGTCAATGAGAGCATTGGGTCAGCTTTGATTAGGGAAGCTGGCAGCTGCAGACACAGAAACAAGGGAGGATTTTTTGTTGTTGTTGCAATGTTTCAGAAATATCCATGTCCAGAACTCTGTTGTTGGCAAAATGATCTTGGAAACAGAATAATTCCTTGAAAAAGAAGGATATGAAAATATTTGGCCACTGCCTTTAGTCCAACTTCGAGAAAGCATTAAAGGAGGACAGTATTATTCCCCCCAAAATGGATATTTTGCTCAGAGATAGTTTCCAGAATGCTTTTGAGGAATCTTTTCTCAGCAGTCCTGCTCAAGCCCTGGCCAATCTCTGGAATATGAGATATCTGGGTCAGTTTAAGCTATTACTCCTAAGCATCCCCTTCTTTTTAGCAGAACAAAATTGTTTTAATGGGAAGCAGAGAACAATGAAGCTGAAAATAAAGGGCTGAACAAAAATTAGGAACTTTCAGGATGGGTCAAATCAGAATGAGATCTTTTGTAAGACTTCTCTGAAGTCTCGTGCCAATGGATGCAATGATGAGACAATGATTTCTCTCTTTGCACCATTGCCAGCAACATTTTTCCATTCTGAATAGAATTTATTTCTCGTGTCATATACAATTTAGTGCTTCCATCCTCTTGAATTCTAGATAATTTAGAGATATTAAAACTGATAATAATAGAATATTTTAAAAATCTAGTAATAAAGTGATAAAATAATACAAACACAAAGGTCTTTATAGCCTGGGGAATAAAACCAAGCTTTTATTTTTTCTGAAACGAGAAATAAATAAATGCAGGCTATTTTCATCTTGTTTTCTTGAGAAGGTGGACAAAGCATGTGGAGAGGAGCAACATCTGCTTGCTTAACTTTTCTCATTCAGATGATTAAATTCATTAGGATGGGACTGGCCTCATATATTATAACTTCTAATTTGTTAGAATTAAAGAGTGGGACTGGTGCAGTGTGCAGTGTGCAATCAGCTATCTGAGATTTATTTAAGAAGCAACCAATGCATGCAGACATGGGAGGATCAGGGCTGTCAAACTCGCAGCCCATGGGCCAGATGCCTTACGCACTGGCCATGTCCATGCCTGGTTTAGCGAAGGTGGAATAGTCACAATATGTCATGTGATCATGCCGTAACAATGTGAGTTTGACACCCCTGAGTTAGATTATTAGGAATCCAATCCTAGCAGATTATTCTGTTTTAGGATACATTGGGAGTTTCAGAAAATCAGACCGAAGCACTTTCCTCAAGAAACAAAGACATGTAAACACCATAACTGAGCCAACCTGCATCTGGCCTATTTAAAAGCAAGACCTTCCAAAGCTGGCCTTCAGCTCACCTTCCAGAAGCTCCTCAAGGCAGCTAAATGTGCATTGCAGTAACCCACTCAGGAAGTGACCAAATCATGAATCAGCTTGAGCAGAGGTTCCAGTCTAGGAAAAAGTACACGAAGTTGGACAAAAACCTTTCTGGTCATGGCTACCACTGCAATTCCAGGATGACACCCAAATTGAACAGTGTTTTAAGTATGGGATGGTGCAACCCTATCTAAAATAAGAAGGAAAATCCTTGGATCTAGAGGGGCCTTAAACCTCAAACCCCTCAGTTTAGCTAGGGAAGCTGTTCTTCGCTCAGACTGCCACAATCTACTGATGCCAAAAACAATTTCCACAGTATCACCTGGTTGGCCAGGGGTGTAAATATAAACATGGATACAATTATCAAACAAATGCCTCATCTTGTACCATTGGATGACACAAGATAAGTTATTGTGAGAACTAGTGTTGAGTCCTGAGCAGGGGTGGGATTCAAAAATCCCAGCAACTGGTTCTCTGCCCGGTTGCTGGGTGGGCATGGCCATAGTGGGTATAGCCTACCGGAACTTCAGGGTGAGCCGTCTTTCATCTTCCCCAGAGTCCGGAGGCTTCCCTCGGGCCTCTGGGAGAGCAAAAACATCCTCCCCCGGGCTCTGGAGGTCCTTCAGAAGCCAGAAATAGGTTCATTTCTGGACTTCTAGGAGGGCCGTTTTTCACCCTCCCAGAGCCTCGGCGTGGGCCCTGCATTTACCTGCATCCAAAACAGGCTGTGTGGAGACTCCTGGGAGGGGAGGGGCAGGGTGGGTGGGACCAGCCAGTCAGTTCTACTACCAGTTCAGCAAATCAGATGTAAATTTAACATCCAGTTCGCCCAAACTGGCCCGAACCAGCTGTATCCCACCCCTGATCCTGAGCTATCTTGCAAATGTAGATATCTTCCCCCTTAATACTAAAACTGGTTCCAGAGGAACTTTCCCTTCCTTCAAGTGATCTATAAGGATGTCATTAAAAATGCTAAGAGATCAACCATCCTTTTTTTTCTGTTGCCCAGGCTTATCCTCAAATCCAATCACTGCCATTCCCATCTCATACCCAGGTCCCAGACGCAAATTTAAGGGGCAAGATAATCAACCTCCAGAATTTTCTGAAGGTGTAGCATCATTACTTTCTCAACAGCCTTCTCTAGAAAGAGAAAGATGATGAGGGACAGTGATGACTTTTTGATGAGAAGGTAAACCACTATCTCCAACCTTAGAACTACCTTGTCTGTCAAGGATGAATTCACCATGTCCTGGCCCAACTATACTTCATCTCCAAGGAAGTCTGAACTAATCAGGAAGGACATAGATCCCATTTATGGGAAGCCAAGCTTTTTATTCCAAAACCCATATATAGGGGTATCAAACTCGCATTATCACGGAGGTGTCACATGACATATCGGGACTTTTTCCCCCTTTGCTAAACCGGGCAGGGGCGGGGCCAGCACATGAGGCATCCAGCCTGTGGGCTACAAGTTTGAAACCCCTGTTTTAGGGGTTTGTTTATCACATTTTGGAATTGCCCATTTCTCTCACCGATGGAATCCTAATAAGGAATTACTGCATCTTAAAATATATTCTTATTGGGAAGATTCCATAAGTTGGTTGATTTATAAAAATGCTGCAAACATAGGTATTACTTTTGAAGAAATCCAAATTTTAGATATCCTAAAATTTCTTTTGATAGTATGGCATAACAACCTTAGCTGATCTTTAGAATGGAAACAAGAAAGATATATCTGGTTACAAGATCAAAGTTTACATATATACATAACAAGAAAGTTATAGCTGGTTACCATGGCATGATTAAAGTTCCCATATATATGTTATACATTTTGAGTATGAATATGTTTGAATTGTCTCTGTTTTCTTTCCTGCCATTCTTTGTTTTTAAAGTTACCAATACCATTTATGGGAGAAGGGGCCAAAATCAGGGAAGAAAAGAGTAAAATGTTATATTACACAACATTGAGTACAGCCATTGGAGGAAGGCTTCTCCATTTAATCTACAGCTGTCTTAGATGAAAAAAGTGTCTATGTGCCAAGCAAAGCACACTGAATCTATTACCCGATGGATATGTTAAAAGCAATGTCATGAGACAGATGAAATGAAACCAAAACAGAATGACAAATTCATGTAAGCAAGGAACAAGAGAGCAACGCAAAAGTTCTAACAGAGCACTTGGAAATATGAAAAAATAATCAGAAATAAGAAAAAATATCAATAAGGAAGAATTTGGGGATGCCAGGAACATTCTGGAAAAATGCCAGCAAAAGTAGACAGGAAGTGATCAAGAGGTAGATAATGTCTCAAATACCCATCCTGTGGAAGGCATACTATGTC